ATCGTGTAATCTGAACCAGGCATTCCAGACTGCACCTTCCAGTACTCGTCATGTGTGTGTGTGTGTGCATGCGTGATCATAGCGTCACCTGTCATAAGCCCCGGCATGACGGCCAAAGTCCAGTTTCCCGAATGCGGCGAAGGTCCGGTCCATGCCGTCTCCCAGCCGGAGAGGGCCGTGCCACAGGTACTTCCCACTGCGCTCGTACAGAACCACCACATGGACCACACGACTGTTGAAGCGGAACAAGAAGTGCAGTGGGATTTCCTTGGCCGTCAGATCGTCCATGCTGATCAGTCTGGGATCTTTCCCACGAATCTCCATCAGCTCCAGACCTCGCTCAGCTGACGCCTCCAACAGCGCGGCCTGCACACACACACATTATTCATATATTCCAAAGTTAAAGGTGCATTGCGCTAGTCTCTGAGTTTTTGCAGAACTACGCCCCCTCTGGCGACAAGCGAAACTGCAACCAGAGGTGTGCGCACTCATGGACCACACACACACGCACACACACACACACGCATGCACGAGCTGTTCATAACCAAAGGAGCATCAGCCACACAAATCTTTTGTTTACAGCCATAATGTCTTCAGAGGTAATAAAGTTATAAATCTGCGAGTCATTTTAAATATATGAAAGGAAAGACATTTGAGTAAATCACACACTTATGTGTGAGGGGAAAACAGGGGTGGTAGAAAACTTCGGTTTTTGTTTCCATCTATCTCCACGTTGAACTGTTATGTGTTTACTGTATCCACTTATGATTGTATTATTTTGGAAACACGTTCATGAACCGTTTTATCAAGAAAAAAGCCAAAAGATCCCGTTTGAGCCCTAGAGCAGACCGGAGATCTCTCCATTTGTTGAAAGCCTTCCCGATGTTGACTCTCGTCTTATTCCGACGCCTGTCTGACTCCAATTTGGCCCTTTTGGTGGCACTAGACAAAAGTTTTCTTTTCTTTGTCTTACGTGGAGTTTGCGTTGGGGTTTGGAATGAACTACAAGCCGGTCTCTTAGAGTGTATTCACACCTGCCTTGTTTGGTTCGATTGAATCGAACTCTTTTTCGTTTCCCCCCTTGGTGCGGACCTTTTGGGCAGGTGTGAATACAGCAATCGAATGCGGACCAAACAACCGATCCGAGACCCAGCTGAAGATGTGGTCTCGGTACGGTTCCAAACAAACTCTGGTACGGTTCGTCTACGGTGTGAACATGAACCGACCCAATTGCAAGAAAGCACTGCGCCTTTGAGTTAACAGGCTTCCGTAGTCGGAGATTTTGGCTTAATGGTTTGTGTTATTGTTGTTCAAGTGCGAAAGAGAATTCCGGCGCGCTGTCTGGCCACACGCTACTGTTGCGCGTCTTTCTGCGCGTCGTGTGTGTGCATCATTGGAATGGAATGAATGAATGAATGAGTGTGTGCATCAGGACATTCACATACAGCGCGTTCTCTTTAGTCTAATCGCGCATGGATGCAAAAAAAGCTTTTGCAGTTCATATAATGTAACGATAGTTACAATACAAGGATGATGCTGCGTTAAACTGGACAAACTTAAATCGCAAGCGTTAACATTGACAGCACTTGTTAGCAGTATATACAATAAGAATCTCATTATTTGAATGTGTGAACATAGCCCCTCTCTATGAATCAAAACTTTATACCTTATCCGTCTTCTGCGCAGTTTCTTCATATTGTGTTTGTACAGAATAACACAAAATTAGTAAAATAACAAATATTGCAGTACGAAATATCTCCATGCTGAGCCTTTTTTACACTTCCTGATTTCCCTACTTGAGAATCCTTGTCCAATGAATGGACGACCTTAGCACACGTGTGGTTTTGTTTACAAATTTTGGTTCACTTGCAAAAAGAGCAGTGTGAAAGCGAACCGTACCAAAAAAAAAATAATAATAATAATTTGGTCCGGACCAAAGCAAGTGAACTATCGGACTTTCCTGGTGTGAATACACCCTTAGAATCCATCTTCTACTTTTGTCGAAAGTTGACTAAAGTTTTGTCCCTCGAGTTGTCTTCGCTGATACAGAGAATGGCGGCGCTGGCGAATACACAAACCTGCCAGACATAACCAGGTGAGTGTGAATATGACGTCACGCCCAGTCTCAAACTCCCTTTTATTTATTTTACTGTACAGGATTATAGAGGCAATCTCAGTGCGCAGAGAAGGGCTCATTCAGCCCATCAGGCAATTGTTTAAGCATGTATGGGTTAGAAAAACGGGTATTTTTAACATGAAATGCAATGCACCTTTAAACTGACGTTAAAGTAATGACTTCCAACATGATTCTATTGATTTCCTCACATCATATTTCCAGAGGTTTCCGTACAGGGCGAAGGTGGTGAAGTCTCTGTGTGTGCAGAAGAAGCTGCAGTGAGGCTCGTTCACACGACTGTCCCGGTACAGAACGGCATCCTGGGACAGGAGGGTCAGAGAGGCGGTGTCGACCAGAAACACAGGCAATTTAAACTTGTGGACCAGACCCAGGAACTTCTTCAGCAAATGCTGGATTGGAGAAAAAACACACAAGACACAAAATGAGCCGAGGAGGAATAATGGCATTCATGTCTCAACTCTCACCATTAAATCACTCACCAAATGTGCCTCTTTCCCCGACAGATATCTTTTACTATTAAACACGTCAAGCCCGTTCTGCAGTGAAAGAAATAATGTCATTATATCAGGATATCAATCAACAAATTTAAATTGATTTATAACTTACATTAATATACAGTATTACACAGACACACACATACTCTATATATATATAGGGTACAACGGGGCTAAAGGCGCACTGTGGTAAAAAGTGCATGTGACTATTCTCTTTTAAACCACTAGACAGCACAATTTTTTTTTTAAAGTCCCCCTGTGGTGAAAATCAAGTTTTTAATGTTGTTTATATGTGTATGTGGTGTTTTTAATATGCTTTAAGACAAACCATGTGTAAGTTCATAAGTCGACAGCATTGCTGAGTATTTTCTCTTTAAAACTGCAGTGAACCAAAGACAGTCTCAAACACACGGTTTGAAATCGCTGGTGTTTCTGACGTCACAAACGACCTTGTAACCAATCAGATCAACGTGTGATCGTCAACCAGTGGATCTCTGAGCTGAGTGAGTGAGTGGAGGCGGGGCTCATTTGCATATTCATAGAACCACGTATACTAAATGAGGCAAGGGTGTCGAGTTACATTCAGGCTATGTGAAGAAAAAAACATTTAAATATGTCATTTTGGTGATCAAAGATGAGTTTTAAGGGACAAAATTATTGACTACAGGGGACTTTAGTTTTTTGATGAGCTTGTGAAAAGTTGATCTAATATTTAATGTTTTTTAAAATGTCGTAGATGTAGCAATCGAGAATCGATAAAATGAATGTCTTTATTTTGAGACAAAAGTCTTGTTAATGATTTTCAGTTTTGTTCAAGGTATATAAATCAATAACAGAAGAATATGTAAAAGTATGGTATTTGGGGTAAAAGACACAACAATAACATGATAGTAAACAGCCGGCTGACTTTTCCATTTGTTGACATGACATGTACAGATGGTAAATAAATATCATATATTAAGTTGGGTGTCAACCTTAGAGATAATCACCATATTTATAATGCAACCATCATATTTAAAAAAACAACATATTAATCATATAAAATATATTAATTTGTTACTACTACTAAATTATTATGAGATCTCATTAAATGCTTTCAGAATCTTTACTTTGTAAAATATTTATTTTTCTGTATTTTTAAAATGAACATATTTTAATCACAGTCTAATTAATTGACCTAATAACTTTTGTAACTTTAATAAGGATTAATTAATAAGGATGTTTAATTTATACAATGAAGACTACGCAGTGTTATTTTACATGTGCTTACTTTGTTAAATGTCTGTAACTGTAAACGTGAAAAGCACTGTTTATTTCATTTGTATCTTTATATTGTATTTATTTGTGCTTTTGCTTGTAATTTGATTACTTGTTCTTATTTTATTAATGACTGTTTACTTGTCTTTAATAATGTTTTACATTTTTATTAGTTAATTTAGTAGTTTTAGATGTGGTATTGAAACTGGAATGGAGGATTGTGAATTTTCACTGGTATCCTTACTGTTTCATGGCCGGTAAAAAAAATATTGATGAATATATATATATATATATATATATATATATATATATATAATTTATTTTTAGGGTGTTTCAATGTTATTTAGGGCAGAAGATGTTCTCTCTGGCATTATAACAGCAGGTTTGTCACCTTTGTCGAGTACAGTCTGTAGTTGTAGATCTGGAAGAGCAGAAATATGGAGCTGGCAGCGATGAGGAGAGTCAACACTAATGTCTTGTTTATTCTAGCCATTACAGCTGATGCTACTGACATCCGACACACACAGGAGGATCATATCTGTGCTCATACACACACACCTGAAATCAGAGGAAAACACACTGAATCATGACATCTATTGGATATTATTAGACGAAACAATTAAAACGAGCAGCATTTAATTAATCGCTTCTTTCAACTTACCAGGTCCAAGAAAGCGCTAAAACGCTGCTTTATCACAATCATTTATGAATTTATTATTTATTCTGCCTGTTTTTTTCCCGATTAGATTCACAGCACACTGCCTGCAACCGTGCGCCAGTAGGGACATGCGATCTGTGAAAACGCGTTGCAAAAATAGTCTGGAGACAGAAGGGGAGCTTTGCCAGAGCCGCTGTAAAGCGAGTTTGCAGAGGGAAAAACCATAGACTGTAAAAACCAAATACAAATCCAGCAGTTGTACTATATAGGCCCCTGTTGTATGAATAATTCTAATATTTATAATAGTTTTATGCCTGAGATTTAAATGAAAACCACAAAAACATGCAATTTGGTTAAATATTTTTTTCCAAATATCTGCTTCTCTTACCTCCCTAAAAATGGTTTAGTCCGATCTAAAGTATTTATTAAAGCTGCATTCCGTACCTTTTTTAGGTTAAAGATTATTCAAAATAAATGTTTGAGCAAGTACATAACCAGCCAGTGTTCAGAACTCTCTGCTTGCCGTAGCTCGATTCAAAACGGTAAGCTTGTAATAATGTATTTAATTCCAGTGGTACTGGTGGATTTCCGTGGGAAATTTGAGCATGTCTTTGCGTCATTACGTCACATCTGTACACATAAAGAAGAGTCTCGGCTAGTAGGCTATGAGTGTGAGGATGCTGGAGGTGGAGATTTATAGCCTTTTCTCACACATTTGATATAATTAAACTTATTAATTTGATGGCGGATCCAGAAAGGTTCAAACGACAATCACCAGTGACAACTGGAGACTCGCCCGCTGTAAAATGCAAAAGACAGAAAAAGAGAGACTGCAACCGGCCCATGCGAAAACAAGGATAACATCTGAAGGGCATTAAATGTCACGCAATGCTGATGTTGTTCAAATTAACAATTTGAGAACAAAGTATAATTTGCACGTTTTGACCTGATATGATAAGCGATCGTTAGATTTAATCAGCTTGATTTACTGCAATGCTTTTTTCCCCTTAGTTAGTCAGAACAAAAGTGGATGTTATTAACTTGTTCAGACATTTTCCGGTGAAACTTCTTATGTTGGTCATACTTACAAAAAGTATAATCTGTGATTCTGAATGCCAGTATCCACACCGGCACATTCTCCTCAAAACATTGTGTTCATCCGCGCCGAGGCACAACCCACGTAAAGCTGATAATTCTGTGAATAACTGCAATTGCAGATTTCGAACAGAGATGGCGACAAAGAGGTAGACTTCCGCTTGACTTCTTATAAAACAGAATTTTCCCTCGCTGTTAACTCTATATTTTAAAATATAAAACCTCATGATGAAAGAAGGAAGCTTATTGGAAGATTGACTGTAACATACGTCTTCCTCCTAATTTACAGATTATTTGGACACTTGTATCACTTTGAATTGTATGAATATCATAGAAGTGTACAGACGTGTACATATTAAGATTTTAAAAATAATATTTTGAAAACGTTATAGCAGTTTTTTAGTCTATTTTTTTTACTAACCTTGCAGGCTTGCCTTCCAGTGGCTTTGGGAGAGCCATGCTGAATTTTTGGGCGAACTAACCCTTTAATTTGTAGCAGTTTAAAGGGTCATTCAATTTTTTTTGCAGTTTCGTGATACAAACACTAGATGGCGAGAGCAAAGTCAACACTGAGACGAATAGAAGTCTTTGGTGAGCTTTAATGTTTGGATTTAAGCTCATTAAGGAGTGTTACACAGAAACAAACAGAGGCTTGATTATTAGTTTCTGCACAAATGTTTGACAAAATCTTGCTTCAGTCAAAAAAAATGAGACCTTTAAAAATCAACTTAAACTCGGGATGACACATGTACACAACAAAAACGTACAGTCCACATCCAAAATTACTATCCAGATATAATAACAGTACATGACCATAAAAGCAGCTTTTATCATTTTTACACTTGTGCAAACCTTTCCAAGAGTCGAATTCCCCAACTGAAGGATGATCTACAGAGTTTCGGATCTCAGGACATTTACAGAGAAAAGATAAAACACTCACGCTACACAGAACAAAACTAACATAATATGAAAATCAAGTAGTGAAAGACAAACAACTCAAAAAAGCATGTCATCATTCAACCTAAGTCAGTAAAAGAAAGTGCACTCAACTATTCCCTGATAAAGCGACTAGCTTTTCTGATGCAAACATCTCCTGATGAAAGCAAGTGTCTGTCAAAGAGAACGTGAAGGGAAACGTCTCTCCGTGTTTTTCTGCTGGTCAAAGCTGTCCTCGTCCTGGAAGTCTACATGCCTCGGCCATCGCAGGTGTGTCCAGGTATCAGGTCTTCCTGATGGTTCACGGCAGGAGGGAAGCGTCCACTGAAGGCAGTTTATCGTAGAAGCAGATATCACAGGCCACGGAGGGATCCTGCTGAGAGATGCTGCTGTTCGATCCTCCCAGACCATTTTCTGTTTTCTGGAAGCTTCTTACAGCACTGGGAACCTGCAGGCCCGTCGTCAGAGTCAGACCGCCACACCACACCTGAAACACAAACACATCATTTTCATCACAGCAGGGTTCCCACACCTCGGTTAACCGATAAACTCAAAGACCTTTCAAGCACTTTCCAGGTCCAATACCCTCAAATTCAAGGACTTAACCCTCTGGTCCTCTTCATTTAGGGGTCACACTCGGCTCCGTCGCGGTCAAGGTGACCGAAGCCTTGAAATTTAACTTTTTTTTCTTTTTTTTTTTATATAATATATTTTTTATCTATATAAAGATTTATTTATTTTTTCTTCTTTCATATTGTCATATTGAAGTGGTCTGTTGCTCCCCCTTCCCTGTCTATTTGTTTAAATGGATGTTATTTTATTTCTAAAGACAATAAATAGTTGATCACAAAAACTAAAAAAATTTTTTTTTGATTATTTAGAATTTTAAAGGGATTTTATGATGCTATGCAATATTTATACAATTTTTATGAGCTATTTTTTCATTAGAGCTAATATATACTGTATATATATATATATATATATATATATATATATATATTTTTTTTTTTCCAATAAATGCAATATTTCAAATTAAATAGAGTGGAGGCCTTTAAAATCCATTTTTGAAGTGAGAAAAGTGCAATCTGGCGACATTAAAAAATAAAAACTTGTGCAATGTCCTGGAATCAACTGTATAGCTCCCTATATACAAGTGAAACTCGAAAAATTAGGTTCATTTATTTCAGTAATCAAACTTATATAGACTCATTACATGCAAAATGAGATATTTCAAGCCTTTATTTGTTATAATTTTGATGATTATGGATTACAGCTTATGAAAACCTTTTCACAATATTCTAATTTTGACTTTGGGGTTTTCATAAGCTGTAAGCCATAATCATCAAAATAATAACAAATAAAGGCTTGAAATATCTCACTTTGCATGTAATGAGTCTTTATAATATATTAGTTTCACCTTTTAAGTTGAATTACTGAAATAAATGAACGATATTCTAATTTTTCGAGTTTCACCTGTAAAGGCTAAGATGGCTTAAGGGGGAGTAAATCATGGGCTAACTTCATTTTAAAGTGAACTACTCCTTTAACGTAACGCGTAAATGCCCGTAACTAATGTAAATCAAGCAAGCTATAGTATGCATAGGCCACAAAGTGTTGGCGAAATAACACATTAGCGGACCGGAGGGAATAATATGGAATTCTTTCCAGAAAACTTCTTTCACAAAATAAATTCAAGCACTTTCAAGGACTTTCCAGGGCCTTGAATTATTTTTTTTTTTTTACAGATTCACTAACGTTCAAGGATTTCAAGGACCCGTGGGAACCCTGTCACAGAGATGGTCTCCACTTTAGAAACCTCATTAGTTTCAACCATTAGGAAATAAGCCTAGATATAAAGATTTAAATTTAGATTTAAAGCCACACGACTCGAATATGCTTGCTTTGAAATCACAGCTCCTTTCTTTGTAGATAGGAAAAACACAACAAATCCAGATGATCTGAAAATATGAACAAAACCTGCAAGTTCACCACATCGGATAACAACTTTGACGTGGGAAAAAAAAACTGCATATGAAATTATCCAGGTATAATCAATTGTGACTATAAGACTATATGTCTATAAAATAATATGTCTTATAGTCAGAACTGTGGGATATAAACTCACAATTCTGACTTTAAGTTTAAATTTAAGTTTTTTTCTCGCAATTGTGAGTTTATATCTCACAATTCTGACTATAAGACACAAAAAAGTCAGAATTGCGATGTATAAACTCGCAATTCTGACTTTTTTGTGTCTTATAGTCAGAATATAACTTGCAGAACTTTATAACTTGCGATTGCGAGTTTATATCACGCAATTGTGAGTAAAAAAGTCAGAAATGTGAGAGAAAAAGTCACAATTACCTTTATTTTAAAGGGCGATAATAGTTACATTTTGTGACGAAATCAAGCAGTAGAGATTTGCTGTATAGTATATATACACGTTTCGAGACGTGGATGCGTGATGAGATGCACACAGACAGCAAGTGCAATGGGACGTGTATTCATTTTACATGTATTCATTTAGCAGATGCATTTATCCAAAACAACTTACAAATGAGGAAAATTACAAGCAAATTGTCACAAGAGCCAATACTACACAATGCCAAGTTTAAAGTATGAACTAAATTGGTACACAAGCTAATGCAGAAAAGAAGAGAAGATGAACAATAAAAAAAATACCTTTAATTACATTTTCCATATTTACTTACAATACTCAAGAATAACACTGGTTAACTACACATCAGCATGAAAAACAAAACTGTTATTCTAAAGTTGAATAAATTATGCAAACAACTGAAGGATTTGTTTTTGTTGTTGTTTGTCACTTATTTATAACATTTAATCAGTTAATGAATTGATTATGTTGAGTGAATGATTCAATGACTGGCATTTCAAGTAACGATCAAGCACATCTCTTAAATTACGGTTCAGTTTGTGTTCATGTTTATTTCAGCAGTGAAGACAAAATGCCAATTTTTTAATATTTTACCAAAGAAACATAAGCAACAACAAAAAAATGTATTATGACGAAGAGATGTTTTGTTTGTGGTCATAAAGATGCTGTAGTAACACTTTATTTCAGTGTTTTTGTTATACTGTACATGCTAAAAGTACTTACTACAGTAAATTATGCAAAGTTACAATCAGCTAACCCTAAACTTAACCCTAAAGTGCGTGCATTAGTTATTATTATTCAGTACTTTAGTGTATAATTACACAAGGACACTTTCAAATAAAGTATAACCACTGCTGCTCAAATGCATTTTGCATAATTCTGAATGAGTCATATTTATTTTTAAATATCATTACCTCAAAGATACAATGGTGTTTCAGTGATAATACTATTACAAGAGTGTATTATTTGTAAAAAAATCAAGATTTACTGAGTCATTTTTTATTTATTTTCTTTCCTGTTGCCTGATTTGATTAAAAACATCATCTTTTTAAACATATTTCATGGTTTGCAATAGGATAACCCATATTTGCATGTTGTTTGTACTCCAAACTCACCATGAAAGCTGGAACAACAGGTTGGGTGAACTTCATCTTAAAAGTATGGAGTAATTGTTTGTTTTCAGCATTATAGAAAGCAAGTTGGCCTGAAAAAAAAAAACACACACACACAAAGCCTTTAATAAATATCCGGAGTCACATTAACATGCTGCAGTTCTTCAGGCGACACATGACACCTCACAGAAAGCATGAATGGACATGGCAGAAACTCAATCTGGAGGGATCTAGTTGCACGAGTGAGAAACCTGAGGGTGGGCTATAATGTTCCCTCGGAGGAATGAAGCATGACATACACTCAAATAAATAACCCATAATAACACAGAAGTATGGAAGCTTGTTTCCGCCACAGAATGAAAAATAAAAAAGGTAATTGTGACTTTTTTTCTCACAATTCTGACTTTTTTTCTCACAATTGCGAGATAGAAAGTCAGAATTGCGTGATATAAAGTCGCAATTGCGTGTTATAAAGTCAGAATTCCGAGATATAAAGTCAGAATTCCGAGATATAAAGTCAGAATTCCGAGATATAAAGTCAGAATTGATTGATATAAAGTCGCAATTGCGTGATATAAAGTCGAAATTGCAGGTTATAAAGTCAGAATTGTGAGATATAAACTATTCTGAGAGGAAAAAAGTTAGTCTTTTATTTTCCCTTAGAATTGGCCTGATAACTCGCAATTGCGAGTTTATATCTCACAATTCTGAGATAAGATGTCAGAATTTCGAGATATAAACTCGTAATTATGTGTTATAAAGTCAGAATTGCGAGATGTAAACTCACAATTGTGAGAAAAAAGTCAGAATTGCGAGATAAAAAGTCAAAATTCTGTCTTTTTTTCTCGCAATTGCGACTATTTCTCAGAATTGCGACTTTATATCTCGCAATTGCGACTTTATTTCTCACAATTCTGACTTCATATCTCGCAATTTTGAGATAAAAATTTGCAATTATTATTATTATTTTTTTTAATTCAGTGGCGGAAACAAGCTTCCATACAGAAGCCTCGACATCACAGCGAGTGCATAAAGGCAAGCCGGACGTATGAAAGAATAGCCTGAAAAATCAATTTTTTCTTAAAAGCTGTGGTGAAAATCCAGCTTTTAATGTTGTTTATACATCTATGTGTTTTTAATATGCTTTAAGACAAACCATGTGCAAATTCATAAGTCAACAGCATTGCTGAGTATTTTCCTCCTTAAAACTAATTTTAATAACCAAAACTCTGTAGTTTTAAAACATATATTGCAATGTAATACAATGATGATTGAGAGATCCTTCCTCAAAAGCCTGATGATCATATGTGAGACTCACATAACATGATTTTTCTGGATAATCAAGTAAACTGAGTTGCTATAGTCTAGTAAGTGTTCAACTTGAAATATTACTAACAGTTATCCTCATGATTACTTAAAAATCTGTAGATTTCACAGCAAAATGAAGCACATGAAGTTTTTACAATTAAACTAAAAGGCCTTTTACTTGCTGAAAAAGTCTAAACTATCAATCAGACGACAGAAGGCATGTAGTAGATTGTGTGGAACGGGTTTTTTAATCAACGTTTTGATCATTTAGAGGCGTATCAAATGTGATACAGTAGGCTTTATAGCCGGGTTAACAAAACAGATTTTTGCAAACATTTTAAATCAGATTTTGTACATTACCCCGATCAAAGTCACAGTAGACTCCTATGCTGTCAGGTACCGGCACGTCCAAATTCTTCGCCTTGTTGTTGTGTTTGGCCGCAAATGAGTTCTGCAGCCAGTTGTTGACGTGGACACACCAGGTGTTGTTGGTCTTCCCCAACTGGTCGAATTTCCCAAGGTTTCGGTAGGCCAAACCAACACTGTAGGACTTGCAGTCTTTCTGAGGCTTCACTTCCCAGTAATGCTGGCCAGACTCTACACTCGTGTCACCTAAACATGCAGACAAACACACCAGTTTAATGACAACAGTGTCTTCAAATGATCAGAATCTCAATAGTGACAGTGACGTTATTCCAGCAAACATGTTTGTGTAGAGATGTGTAGCAAGTGTTGTTTTCAAGACATGATGTCACATTCATTTGTATAGCGCGTAAAACAGATTGTTTAAAAGCTTCACATTAATAAACAAGAAAATAAGAGCAAAATTAATCATAAATTCAGCTGTAAAGCAGCTCTACAAGTGTCATTATTCAGCTTAATTCAATTCAATGTTGATTGAATTCAGTCAATTATGAAACGCATTGAATTTCAGCTCTACAGAAGACAATAGTGTTGTTTTCATCCAATTGTTTTACTGCAGTTAAATCGATAATAATACTAAATATGAATTGTCTTTTAAACCCAAATGTTTAAAGAGGACTAATTATGCTTTTTTTGTTTACATGTTCATCTTCCTTTAGTGTGTAATGTTGCTGTTTGAGCATGAAAAAGGTCCACAAAAAAAAGGTCCAGCGGGAGTTCCTCTCTATATATCAGTCACTGTTTCTGAACTCCCTGAAACGCCTCCATTAGGGATGTCAATTTTCACAAATTCCCATGATCGATCGTCGTTTAAAAAATTAACGATCAATTAATTAGCCTGGCCAACAGCATGACAGGGCCTGCAAATGCTGCTCAAAGCGAATCCAAAATCCTCACCAAATGAATAAGAATGTTTTTTAATCTAAATAAAGGACTAGTAGGATTGTAAAATGATTGTGATTATTTAAGGGTGTTTTCACACCTGAAAGTCCGCACAAAGTTCATGTTTTGATACATTTTATAGATTCGGAAAATTTTGGTTTGGTTTCACATTGCAATTACGCGAGCGGACTAAAGAGCTTTACGTGACACACTTGCGTCCTGTCGTCATCATCTATGCGGGCTGCATCTCGACATTGATTGGTTTGTAAACGGACATGCGTCTGACGTCAGCGTGTTGTCAATTCGGTGGGTAACTTTGACAAGAATGAATGAACAGACGCATATTGTTGCCACTATACTGTTATTATTACGGAATTACTACCTGCAGCATCAACTATACTCGAGACTAGTTCAAATTCGCCAAGTTGTGCGAACATTTTATCGCAATCCTACTTCCTGTGAATGGTCTGAAAGTCCGAACCATACAGAAAATGCGTTCACACTAGAAACTAACCAAACCTGTTCAGTTTGATCCGGACCGAGACTACCTCTTTTTCCAAATTTCGTGGTTTCACACCAGTAATTTTGATTCGGATCAAACTGAAAAGTCTGAAAATCTGGACCAAACAAGGTAGTCAAATATAACGACTAATACAACGTGTCACCTACGCCGCCTCAGATGCGTGCTTGCCAGAATGTGTACGCTCTTCATGAAACGACGCACTAAAAACGAAAACTAAACCCAGTGAAGTCACAGCGATTTAATAAAATAGTGTTGTGTTCTCATGTAATGTAATATGACAGTCCCAATCATAGTTATTATTAGCCGTGCATTGCTGTTTGAGCTGCGCGCTGAGTGAGTACCGGTAAACTGGAGCGCGTTATTTAACTCAAAGGAACGCATCCTATATGAGATTAGTCTTGAGTTTCTTCCGGGAACGAACACGTCACAATATTCCTCATTTAAATAATTAATACGCAGAATAAAGGGGCGGGGCCTGGTTGAGTTAGTTAGTAGCAGTGTTGTGTGTAACGCGTTACAGTAACCTAACTACTTTTCCGGGTAAAAAGTAGTGTAACGCGCTACTACTGAAAATTTGGTAACTAAACATAGTTCCTTTTTCAATTCGGCGAAACGTTACTTTCCCCAGGGACAGATTTGACAGCGATCTCCGTCATTTGACAGATTTGACAGCGATCGCCATCTCCGTGAACGCCTACAGAGAGAAATGCACACAATGGATTACATAATCAGAGAGTAGCCTATTTCTTTTCGTTTTGAATTGTTTCGTTTAAAGACATTTCAAGCTTTCTATATATAGATATATTTCTCATGTCTGTGAGGCATACGCTGAGTTTCAGTTAATGTATGATGAGATGCGATCCAGTTCACGCGCAACAAGTGACTGCGCCGGCGCCCCCATGTCATGATTATATTGTCTGCTATATTTGCTTCTTATTTATTAAATCCAGGCAATTGGTTGATTGAAATTAAGATACAATTTATACAAAACAAAATTCACTTTAAAGAAAGACTTTCTTCAAAACAAAACTTAATGAAGTGGTCAAAATCATGTCTGACCGAATGTCTCCCGATATATCGCGCATCCATCTTACTAATGCTGTTCACTTTTCATAATCAACATAGATGGGAAAAAAAATAACATTATAATATTTTAACAAATATGAAACTAAATGCGCTTATTTAATGGCTACAACACGTATAGTAGGCCTAGACTCTCTATTTGTACAAATTGCTGCACATTAATTTAATTCTAGATTTTGCACACATAAGTTGAAAGGCATTCATTTACGTGCATAGTAAAACATATCTGCAACATTTATAAAGTTCACAGATAATTGTGCGTGCATTTATTAATCATTATGATACTAAAATCATAATAAAGTAGGCTATACTATGTACAAAAAATCAGATGAGCCCAGAATATGAACGCAATGTGTTTACTTGCACGTTAAGCATTTTCCTCCCATAGAAAACCATTATAAGAAGAACGCTTTATTTGGCTTAATGTAGATTAGAATATCCCCTTATTATGTCGAAATAACAAGATAAGTTTTCTTTTTTTTTCTTCACCATGCGGTTCAGGACTTCCATAGAATACAGCCTGAATATAACTGCTTCCAGAAATGATTTTTGGGGGTGCTAACGGGGTGCTTTGGTCTTTCTTGGGGGCTTTCTTTCTAGCCCCTCCCTAGCGCCGCCCATGCACATGCCTATCCATTAACGGGCATTTCTTCATAAATATTAAACATTTTGATAAATGCATTATGCATTTATGGCATTATATATGGCATTATGCATAGGCCTACATATTTAGGAACAGATATTGGGGTTCTGCCCAAAGTCAAGCAACATAAAAGTAACGTAAAAGTAGCGAGTAACGTAAAAAGTTACTTTCCATATGGGGTAACTAAGTAAAGTAACGGATTACTTTTTTAAAGAAGTAACAAGTAACGAGTTACACTACTTTTTAAAAGTAACTTCCCCAACACTGGTTAGTAGTGTGTTAAACTGGCGGTTATGGAAAGGGGCGGGACATTTCCCAAACACACTCGAAGCGCTCGACCAATCACAACACACTGCTCCAGCCGACCAATCAGAGCACAGTGTGCTTTTCAGAAGGAGGGGCTTCATAGAGACAGGAACTAAACAGAGCGTTACTGACAGACTGGGAAGAGAGGAGCCGCAACAATGGAGAATATGAGGAAAATAATCAACATTCAAGCATGAAACCCTGTTCTAGTAGAGCCAAAAATTAAAACATTGTAAAAGGGCATAATAGGTCCTCTTTAAAAGACATGGAAAGGAACAGGTCACTTGAAATTGGTGAAGATAAGCGGCAAGAAACTTCTTCCAAAATGATTTCAGACTTTTGGATGGCAGTGTAGACTGACACATCTTAACATTTCTAAGGCTATTTCGGTACCCAGAACTGTGTAGGACTCTCCGGTGAAGCGATCCCTGGCTCCTCTGGTGGCCGGCGAGCGGCTCACTGATGTTCGTTTAGGAGACGGAGTTCCACTTCTGCAATCATCAGACACACAGACCGTCACTACACATACTGGACACACACATCAGATGGTTTGAGTGCAGAGATAAATCATCAAAACACTAAACACACACTCCTAATCCCACAACACACAGAGAGAAGAGAAGAGACGAGAAGAGAAAAGACTTTCATTTAGTGATCAAACACAGCATGTCCCTGTTCGTTAGGGCTGGGCATTGACACAAATTTCACAATTCGATTCGTTTTCAATTCACATGCTTGCGATTCAGATCAGATCCCGATAAGATTTAATACAGATTAATTTGGAAAAATGTCAGGTACAATGTCAAATTGCTGTAAACTATACACCTGTCAGTCAGTATATTCATATTAAAGACAAAATTAACAACTAATTGTGTATACAAACATTTAAAATGACAATTAAGTAAGTTGTACTGTATCTTTCAACATACCTTATGTTAATTTATCTTTATTTTGTGCTATAACTAGTAGTAAAGTGTAAGAGATGATCGGTTCACTTCCCACAGCGATCAGTTACGCCAGATTATAGAGCAACGAACGTATTTGTAGTTTGAATTGACGTAATTTGTAATAAAATTGACATAATTTGAAATCCAAGACTGTTTCATAAAGCAACAAAGCACCCCACTTATTGCAATTTACTAGATGGCGGACACTACAATGTTTGGTTTACACATCAACTGAAAACAGCACAGCACAAAATATTTACGAATCTCTATCAGCTAATCAAAATGAGAATTGATTATAATCGGGAAATTTATATTTTCAACCCAACCCTACTGTTCGTGATGGTGGTGGGAACAAACTATGGAAAATCTGGAGAAGTTCATGAAAAAAAGCAATGCGTAACATGTTAGCCACAGTCGCACAAATGATGCAATGCTACTCAAATAGTTTAATACAACAGAAAATAATGAATAATTTGAACAATAATGGCTGTGCAGAGTAGACTATGAATGGCTATTATAGAGCAATTACGCAACACTACAGGCAATTGAGTGTGTATTTTGTAGTGTACTTGATATAGAATTTGATTAAGCCCTGTGCGCTGTGTGCCTGTCCCTTCCTCCATTAGCCATATGTAAGATCCCACATGTTAGCAAAAGAACAGCTGGCCGGTGAAGGACGACCCAAACAAAAGGCATTTAAAAACGTCCTGAAAGACTGAGCATTATCTCAAGATACTTAGCAACATACCAGATGCTTTAGTCTCAAAGCATGACAGGTGTAATTACATGCAAAATTGATGTAGTTCAGTGCACTTTGTTATGGCCGTAATGAAATGACTGATGAGAAAAGCATAAAAGCGGTGATTTCAGGCGAATGCTTACTCACCACAGTCATAAGAACGTGAGCATGGAAAAGCAACTTTATATTTAGTATTAAGTTGATTTAAAAGTTGCACAACCAAAGTTTAGGTCATCATTTGAAAACAAAGTTTGAAAGAGGGAAGTGATAGAAAAGGTGTTAAGTACAGGTTGAATTTTTAGGTCAGAATTATCATAATAATACAAAAATATATAATATGATAGATCTTTTTGCAAAATCACATGCAAAATCCGTAATCAATTCAAGAGCACTCAGTTTAGAAACACAGAAAACCCCTTTAGAAGAACAGACACTCCATAAATAAGGATCACATAAATTTAGAAAACAGCACTAATTAAGTAGGTAATGTATGGAGATGCTATATTAAAGCCGTGATCCGTGATCCTTGTTCATGCAATGCTGTGCTCAGATCAGTGTCAGTGAACACAGAGCCCGTAGAGGAGCTCTAGGTCAGCCAGCGGTCGGTTCAGGGCGCGCAGAAAGAGCTAAAGGCCAATGCTAACAGACACACGGTCACCTGGACATATTCTTCAGATTGGTGAAATGTGCACTGCTGATTGGTGGAAAGGAAAAAACAAGAGCAGGGAGTTATCAGGGATGCATCGACATCTAGGACTGATAAGCCCATAATGCTTTTTAAGTTATTGCCAATAACTGACAAATGGCAGATTTTAAAAATTCGACACTGTTTTTGAAATACGATAAAAAAAATATTTATAAAGCACAATTTAAAAAGTTGCAACCAAAGCGCTGTACAAGTACAAAACAAAAAGTAAATTTTTAAAATTAAATTAATTTAAAAAATAATAAAACACTATATACACCAGAGGTGGGAGACTCGAGTCGCAATTTTCTGGACTTGAGACTTACTTGACTAGATCTCTGAAAAGACTCGACTTGACTTTAGACTTGCTCCTTGTGACTTTAGACTTGACTCGGACTTGTGCCTATTTACTTGAAATGACTTGTGGAATTTTTTTAATTTTTTTATTATTGTGTATTTTTTATTCGTCATAAGAGGGAGCGCGGGCGGTAATGCACTCACTCTGTGTGTGCCGGTTGAGGGAGAATAAAACGATTCGCGGGACTCCCGCAAACTAGAAATATCTATGAATAAAACATAAAAACTAATACATTTTATTCATCTGTTGCAGAAAAGAAATAAGAACAACTAAAACAAAATAGAAACGGTTTACAGGCAGAGTTTCTATTCATAACATGTTTGCAGCGTTGAGCGATGTAGCCAATCACAGACATATGTGTTGATTTCTTAAACGCAATAATGGCCAATCAGAAGCATTTAAGCTAGACTCCCCTCACCACTCAAAACTGACTTTTTGTTCAGTGCTGAATTCTGTATGCTGGCAAATCCTCGAATTATAACAAACAAAGTGTATATATTATGAAAGCTTTATTGATAATAACAGAGATGTGTGAGTGAGATCGCGATGAACTGATGTCAGCTTTTTAGGAATTAGGGCGCGCAGTCATGCCAAACCATGCACGCAGGAGCTACTTGCTTTTATGTCTAACAGTGGTTTGTGTGTTAATGCTTTAATAACAAACAATTTATCAGGAGCATTTATGCTCATGTGTATGGTGGCGACACGTAGGCTAACTTAAAAGTATTTGGAGGTAGGCAACAGAAAATAAGTATTTTTGCGGGCGGGAGCGGGACAAACATAAATGTTGCGGGCGGGAGAAAGTAATAAAGAAAGTAGTTGAGAACGTCAGTTATAACGACCCACGTATTAAAAAATAGTCGGGTTTTAATCATTTAAATTATTAGATTTGTTTTCTTAAAATTTCCATATAATATTTTGTGTTATGGGATCAAATCATCTGGATGTTTAGAGTAAGAACATACAAACTTTGGCATACAGTAGGCTACTAATTTAGAATGCAATATCTTTTTAGTTTTTTTTTACAAGATGGGAAAAGTTGTATTAATTCTTGTTTACTTGTGTTCATTTAATTTATTTTTATTTTAGAGCATTTAAAGTGCTTCTTAATGCTAATTTATTTATTACACACAAGTTAATTTATTTATTTTTGTAACCCATCAGCCCTGCGTCTAAATAAGTAATAAAAGTCCCAGAGTTAAAAAATGTATAAAACTAGCCTGTGTGCCACTTGGTATGACTTGATGACTAAGTTGCGACTTGACTTGACTTGACTTGACCCTTACAACAGAATGACTTGACTTGACTTTGACTTGCAATGTTAAGACTTGGACTTGACTTGAGACTTGCATTTAGTGACTTACTCCCACCTCTGATATACACTACATATTAAATGCTACAAGAGATATAATGCATAGTAATAAAAATAGATATATTCATTTTGAGATTTGCTAAAGACTCATTTCAACAGCGTAATTAAAGTACCAGTGTTCTGTAGAGATTAATTATAAGTGAGCATAACATAACAGCAAAGATGGACGTCTGTAATGTATATCGGCGATTTGCACAGGATAAGTGTAAAAATCACAGAGATGAGCGCGACTACTGCTTTACTTTAAGTTTTATAAAAATACGTTTTTAAAGAAGGCTGCAGTCTGGAAAAAGTTCAGAATGGTCCATTTGAATGGGATTAAAATGACAGAGAAGGTTAGTATTTATTCACATTATCATATCAGTGTATTATTATAGTATTATTTATATACTATAGTATATTTTTAAGTAGCTTAAATTTTAGTTGTAGTAATTTTAGTACTTCAACATACACTTTTCATTTCTAACTTTCATTTAAATATAATATTTTTTTATCTAATAATTATATCTTATTTTTAGTGGCTGGGCAACGATTAATCGCATCCAAAATAAAAGTTTGTGTTTACGTAATATATGTGTGTGTGTGTACTGTGTATAATTATTTAGTATATATAAATACACACACATGCATGTATATATTTAAATATTTGAATGTCTATACTGTATATATATATTTATACATAATTTATATTATATATAAATATAAATATGTTTTATATATAAATAACACATTTTTCTTAAATATATACATGCACATTGTGTGTGTATTTATATATAAAAAATAATTATACACAGTACACACACATATTTTATGTAAACACAAACTTTTATTTTGGATGCGATTAATCGTTCCGTCAATACTTATTTTAATTCATCTTTATTTTAATTACCAAAACGATTTAGGTAACATTAACAACGCTGTAGTACATTACACTCCGGATAGGGCTTTACACTAACTGATGTCACTAACTTTTAATAATAAATCGACTAACACACACCACATCACATATCGTCGCTGTCGGGCGGAAACCTTGTTTCTCCAAAAAATGCTACTTTTCAGGAAATGGGAAAAAAACACTTTTTTGAATAATTAAACATCGCATTGTCAAAGTTGATATTGTGGCATTATATATGTTCAGACAGTTGAATGGAGTCTCGAGGTTTTTGACCACCGAATTTCAGACAATTTCGGACGTTTATTGTAGCTATGTGGGCAAAAATGCAGTACTTTTTCAAAGAACCAGTTCTTTATTTACCATTGCATTGCAAACAAGCAGTGATGAAGTGTGTGCAGCACTTCATTCGCGATAGAGGTGGGCGGAGTTATCAAGTTTGACTGACAGTTTGAGTATCCAATGGAGTTATGAGGTTTTAGTCAAGCACTTTTTAATATTTTTCACTGGTTAGATATTTGCAAAACTCACAGAAAGACGTAAAGGGTGACCAATAGTAATGATTTTTTAATAAAAATGACGAAATATGGTTTCCTCCTGACAGGTTTCTGTCTGCTAACTCAGAAATTGAGAGTGCAAAAACATGTTCGTTTAATCTCATCCATGGCTGATTCAATGAAAGAACGAATGCTAAACTTCTTACCTGCCCTTGTTCTCCTTCCCTTTGACTTTGCTGTCTAGGCCTTTTCCTCCCTGCGGATCCCATTCGACGCCCCGGTCCTCCACCTTCAGATTCAGATGAGATGACGTGGAGTCAAAGCTGAAGTTAAATGCTAACACAGAGAGACACAACCATCAATATCACAGAAGTACTAACAGGACAATCCAGTAACATTCCTTTCTACAAATACTACTGTCAAAAGTTTGGGGTCTATAAAGTTGTGAAATATTATAACTATATTTTATAATGTTTGAATGTCTGTGTGAATATATATTAAAATGTAATTTATTCCTGTGATGAATTTTCAGCATCATTACTCCAGTCTTCAGTGTCACATGATCCTTCAGAAATCATTTTAATATGCTGATTTGCTGCTCAAGAAACTTTTATGATTATTATCAATGTTGAAAAACATTAATATTTTAGAGGAAACATTTCTTTGATGAATATAGAGTTCAAAAGAACCGCATTATAAATGTCTCTACTGTCACGTTTAAAAAAAAATCCGACCCCATACCTTTGAAATAACACACAAGCACATATGCATACATTATATATATATATATATATATAATGATTTTACATAGTTTAATACACAACCCTACCTCTAGTTTCCAAGGTGACCGGGTCCGAATAATCACCTGCGGCTGCTTTGTTACATGCTCGTACCCGGAAGTTCATGAATTTTGAGTCGAATCTTAACCCTGCCGAATGAATAGAATAGACCGTTTTCCTTGTGCATGAAAGTGGGAAATGTAGAATATTTTAAACAAGGTCATAAAAAGCAGCACATAACTGCTCATTTTATTTTCGTTAACTTTTCAAAATGAAATAAAACAAACATTAGCTAAAATAAATCAGAAAAAACATAAACTTATTTTTATTTCAGCTATTTGCCAAGCCAAAATTTTCATTTTTGTTTAATTTTAGTTGAAGTAGTAAAATAACTAAAACTAAATAAACTAAAACTTCATAAAAACTATATAGAGATATAAAAAAACTAATAAAAATGACAAAACGAATATCTAAATTAACAAATATTTAAATAAACAAAATCTAATTCAAAATATTAACAAAACCTATAATAGTATTATTTATACTACAGAGCTAATGAATGCTTGAATCTGATTGGTTGACGAACATTCTAAGGTGTGCATATTATTATAATATTATTTTCAGGGAAATGCAAGGCAAAAGAAAAAGAACCAAAACCCACAATGACACTAATCGAGCTAAAACTATATAGTAAACAATAAGATAAAAGCTACTATAAAATTATTTCCATGTTTTTTTGCCACAAAAAGGCATTTTATTATGAACGGAAAGCACATACTCTCTTTCTCCCGCTCAAACAAACACACACACAGTACAGAAAAAGTTATCAGTAAAATAGTTTAGCAACTTAAAAGCTACATGACATTTCTCACTATAGAGGTAATAATGGCGCTGTTCTTGAAGCAGATAAACGTACAGTTTCGCTATTAGTAGAGAGACACTGCTGCCGAACACTGTTGAGAGACGCACTCACTCAGGTAATTCACACACGCTTAATCTCTCTCTCTCTCTCTCTCTCTCTCTCTCTCTCTCTCTCTCTCTCTCTCTCTCTCTCTCTCTCTCTCTCTCTCTCTCTCTCTCTCTCTCACTGCATTAATAACTGTATTAGTCTACTATGTCTTGAGTTGTGATAACCACAGTATAAGCAGAATAATTGACTGTTGAATTATAAGATAGGGCCGTTGAATTATTGAAAATAATGCACAGCCGAGCTGTAACGGCCATGATGCACCATAGGGCTGTCACTTTTGTGAAAAAATCCTGTTCGATTTTTGAGACATAAGTGTTCATTGAACCGATTGTAAAATCGCTTTTCAATGTCTAAAGACGTTTCCATTTTCAACACCAAATACAGGCAAATCCACGGACACCTAACAGGCATTAGGACGAGCGTAAAGAGGGCGCTTGAGACGCACAAGTCAGCAATATTTCTGAAGATTTATTGGCGTGAAGTTTCGTGCACAATGACAAACAGGAGCGCAACACTCAGGGATTGAGATTAACACCCTCCAACTCGCCAAATGCGGGTAAAAATGAACTTTGGCGGGAAACGCTGTCAAATCACGAGCCAATCTGGCGTGTTTCTATGTTTACTCACTTTGCTGGGGAAGTTCGTGTAAGCCAAATCTGCGCGGATTTAGCGCAAATACGCAACTCGTGATCCTCATGATATATTAAATACAGCGTATTGCAGAATCTGTGCATTTCTGGCTTACTTAAACACACACACATACACACGTCACTAAGAAACAAATAACGGCGCGCTTGCTCACTTGCATTGAAGTAATAGCGAATATTAACTATAGAATCCATTTTTAATGCGCATGTGAACACCATCAGGTCACAGGTTCGCGTTTAAAGTCTGTTTAGAGAGAACGCCGTCGTCTTAGTGGCCCCTAATGTAATAACAAATGATAATTTTGCTGGAAGTGAATCAATCAAAACCAACTTTAGCCGGAAATAACATTATTCAAAATCGCTATAAAGCCAAAACAATCTCTGTTACCGTAAATTGTATGTTTATCTCTGTAAAGCTGCTTTGAAACAATCTCCATTGTTAAAAGCGCTATATAAATGAAGATGACTTGACTTGACTTGATTAAAAAGCATTTGGTTAACAGAAAAGACACTGTTATTTTCCAGCATCCTACATGTTCTGTGTCCTGTATTGATCTGTCCACCTAAAACACATTTTTGGTAAAAAAAAAAAAAAAGGCCGAATCGATTCCCTTTTTTCGTTTTCGAAACTTGTGTTGGTTGGTCCGATCGATTGTGCAATCGATTTTCGAAAGTAAAGTGACAGCCCTACTGCACCACGCATCCCGTCATCAATTATTCCTTACATCAATGGAGCTAAAGCAACACTGCAGCTGCACCTTGAAGTGTGTGTTCAGTGGTCCTGATGTCGTCCAGCACCTCCCAGCACTGCTCGTCCTTCACGCGCGGCAGACCCTCGTGGCTGGTCTTCCTGTACTCTAAGATGTAATGGTCGATCTTGCTGTCCTCCATCGGCATCCTCCAGGTTACGGTCACCTCATTGTCCATCACCAGACAGTCCCCGAGCACGATCTCTGGGGCTCTCGGCACTAAATGTGGAAGATCACAACAGTGCACTGAGCGTTTCATGCATATCACGATTCTGGATACATAGAGAATACACTTTTGAGTTTCAAATAGAGAGCATGATTTTCCCATGACTCTGAACAGACAACTAAACAAGATAACATGTAATTAGAGGTTATGACAAAATGCGAATTGCTGCAGTCTATGTAAAATGTTTTTAAAAACTCGGGTTGAGTGAATGATTCAATGACTCACTCATTAAGACTTGGTTTATTACTGGATAAATCAGCTTTTATTTACGCATCTCTTAAATTAATGATTCAATGACAAATATATATTTTTAACAGTCACTTGTCGCCAGCTAATGGTGTAATGATGTAATGATACAATCTTTATATATGAAGCATCAATTGACCATATGCATAGTTCTTCCTGGTTTTCGATAAGCCAGCTTGGGTATTTCCAGTGAACTGTGAGCTGTTATTCTGTCCTCACTGTACATCTACACTAAACCATTAATGGATGACATTTATATTTTCATGCAGTAATCACACATACCTAATTTGCCATTAAACCAGTTTTATTGATTCAAATAAAGACTTGAAGCTAATGGGAACGTTTGAATAAGAAACAGGGTGTTTTTAATTGGACACACAGAGTTACCTATTTGTAACTAAAACTGAACGTTTCAAGATGTAGGAAATCCAACATTTGATAGGAAATACTTTAATAAAAAAATAAAAAAAGACATTAATTACCACTATAACCTGTAGATGGTGGCAGAGGAGCATTTATTGGCTCATATTAGACGTTTCCTGTCATATTTTTTCACTTAGTTTCACTTTTGAATAAATATTAAACATTATAAAATCACTAGGTTTAAAAATAAATTGTCAAGGTAAAGTATGAAGTACTCACAAAAGTCTCATGAAAAACAATCACTTTTCTTGCCGCACACTGGTGAAAACTCCCATTTTGTTCAATAAATCTACCTAAAGTGCACAATAAATCTTCAATTAACAGGGTTGATGCTTTTTTCACACCAAAGTGTGAAAACTGATGGTTGAGTTGAACTAACCCTAACACTGAGGAACGTGTCTTTTTATGTCATCTTACGTTTAAATAACTAAACTAACGCTAGGTCTGACTATTTAAGTGACTATATTCTGATTATAAACTCAGTTTTTACACTATTGATGTTCTTAAAGCTACCTCAGGACCAGTACTTCTGTGTAATAAAAATATTAAAATAAATATATAAAAAAAATGCTGTTTGTGAAGGAAGGAAAATAAACTAGTTGCTAATTAAGGAAATTGATTTAAGTATAAAATGTGATTTTTACCAACTAGCCTCATTATATTTAGCAGACTGAACAGATCCAGTAGAGTAAATTATATTGTGTCTCTCAAACCTGGACAAATTGAGTGCCAGACAGTCACAAAGCCGGTTACAATTAACAAAGCGTATTGGGAATTTAAATAGTTATTATCCAACGTGATGGAAAAAATGCTTTCCAACTAATGCAAATCAATATTTACATAGTGTATAATAGTACTAAATGTATCTCTCTCTCACACGTGTCCCGCATTGTTGAAGGACGTAGATGTAATTTTGCGGGACAGTTTAATAATTAGATGGTCACATTAATTCTATTTATATATATTAAAATATGTTCTAAAATCATATTGTGTGTGTGAGATCATCTCGTATCCTAAATAACCTGTTAAAGACCCCGTCCTTAGATAACATCCAGTCGTAAATAACACCACTCTTCACTTGCTTTATTGCAGTTACGCTGTACGGTCACTCTGATCCTCTCTGCTTGTATTAAAAGCACAGATCTGCCATTGGCTATATTCACAATATTTTTAGCAGCTGATGCTATTTCATACGGGAAATTCTGCAAATGTCAAAATGTGCAAGACAATGTTGAAACTTTCAAGGTCAGGAAATCAGAAAATGAGTGGTGTTAAATCTCCACACATTTGACATAACGGAGTAAACTTTTGAGATTCTGTATTTTGCATTTTGTAAGTTGGCAAATAATGTGTCACGTTCCTTTATGCATGTCAATCGAACAAATCTCAGGATTTTAGGATGATCAAACTTACAATTATGTAAGAAATATCCAATCAATGCACTGAGAATTTTAACTGTTAAAATGATGTTGAATATTTTGATCTGATCTAACCATATCTACAGTTTTGACATCGCAGAAATGAGCTCTCAATGCAGGCTAAATAAAAATTTATATATATATATATTTACAGGTGAAACTCGAAAAATTATAATATCGTGCAACAGTTCACGTATTTCAGTGATTCAAATTAAAAGGTGAAAATAATATATTTAATATATATAACTATATACATATGCATAATTATACTTTTCAGAGGGCCGACATTTCTGTATTTAAAATCCTTTTTTTTATTTTTTTTATTTCATGTAATCTAATTTTCTGAGATTTTGAATTTGGGGTTTTCATAAGCTGTAATCATAGACATAATCATCAAAATGATCACTTTTGCATGATATTCTAATTTTTCAAGTTTCACCTGTATATATATATATATATATATTTCTATTGCTTTTTGAAGAGAAAGACAAAACTGAATTCAGATCACATTTATACAACATTACAAAGATGTCTTCTCATTTTACATTACATTATTTAACAATATCTCCCCCACGCCATTTACTCCCAAAAATTAAACCACAGAAAGGGAGAATAAATAAATAAATAAATAAATAAATAAAGTATTGTAAAGTACCTTTGTTTCTGATTGACTAAATCATACTCCAAATTATTTTTTTAATGAATATCAGGCAATGGAACAATATCTGTGCAAATATTAAACTGGCACAGTCTGGGAAGATTACCTGGGAATGTCAGTTTAAGAAAATGAATATTCATGAAATGTGTGATTTGGTGTCATAAGGACACAGAGGCAGAGAGATAGTTAAACGTAGAGGCTTATATCAGGGGTCGTCAAATGTAAAGGTGGCTCATGAGAAAGATTTAGCAGATCTACTGAAGCGTTTCGAAAGCCAATCAGAAATGCACAACCCAAATCCTCTTCCCAAACTGTAATATCAGAGCTGAGAGGGGTGTTATTTTACAGTGATATTTTTAAAATGCTGAGGAACGTCTGTATTTGGTGCATTTGAAGACCCGTGAGCCAGAGTGACTCACAAAAGAGCAGACTCATCATGACACATCCAAACCCCAAGAGCAGACGAAACAAGACGTCACAGTGCGGTCACCCTATATGATGAACCACAAATCAGTAGAACTCATCATAACACATGCAAATATTGCTTCTTTTGATTGTGCATTTCTAAGACTTCGGGCCAGAACTACCAAAGAAATGCAGAGAAACATTAGTGCTGAAAATGCATGGACAGGGTTATTTTTACAGGTGACCTTATTGCATATGCATTTGTAGGAGTTTCCCTTTCAGACGTCAAATTTATGTGAGGACCGTATTTAAATGAATCATGCAACGTGATTTACTAAAGGTATTTGGTATTTGTGGCATTATTATGTAGTAGAAGGCAGGGAATTTTCTCCACTCGTCTTCCTTTATTTAATATGCCAGAGTAAGACGTAATCCGAATAGGGCTGTACTGTCCCAGTCCATTAGTCGATTAATAGGCTCATGCACGCATCACTTACGCATTGGCGGAAGGATGTTTGGACATTTCCGGTTAGCGGAAGAAAACATTAAACAGTGACAGTCGACATTTACGATGGCAGAGATGAAGTTCACAAGGTGTTTGCTGGAGTTGCCGAAAGTGTCTGTTAACGATATCCAGAGGATCGTCCGGGCATCCAGTACGACACCACGTAGCAAATTAGATAAAGGCTTTAAATTTTACGTTTCTTCATTTCTTTGCAACTTTGAAGGTAATTTGCTAACGTTAGCTAGCGTTTTAGCGTAGTGTTTTAAGTCATGACTCCGTCCTGCTTCAGGTTAATCATTAATTTAATTATGTGTATATACCTCATGTGTTTGTACTTTTATTAAAGTATCAGATAAAAATAGGGCAACAAATGAGATATCTGTGAGAACCCACTGCTACCGCTCAATGAAGAAGCTAAAGCCACCACACCAGCTGAAAGTAGGACTAGATTAAAGGCACAATATGTAGGTTTTTTTCGCCACTAGAGGGCGCAGTTTCCAACAATAACAAAGGCGTAGGTTGATGACGCAGTGATGAGCTGAATGATGGGACTTACTGTCAAGCTGATGGATCTAATAATGTTTATGGATGAGTGCAAATAATTCATGTTTTTAAACATTACAGTGGTATGAAGCAGGTCCCGATTGCTAAAGAGACAGATATCACACGCGAGTCCCGCGGATATAAAGGAATAAGGACATTTAATTCTACCGAACTAATTAAACTTGTGAGGTAACGCAGCGCTGCTTCACTTGGTCTAACGTTACACTATCACACTAAACGGCATTTAAATGTGTGTTGAAAGTTATAATGTTATACTACGTGTTAGATCGTTTACTATACGAAACTAGCAGTAAGCTAGATCAACATTAGAATAACATACTGACCATATTCTAACATTTCATCTTGTTGAGCTAACGTTATATAACCTTGATTTGTTTTATGTACATTTGCTCACCTGTCTAATAAAGCTGTCAAGTCGTGACTCGTGAAGCTCTGGCGAGTCCAAGTTAGTCGCGGACGCTAGCTCTCGGCATCTCAAAAACGCCACGCTGATATTGATCCTCATTTTAGTTCTCCTTGTTTGTCCCAAAGTCTGCTTGCCATGGTCTATGTTTGAAAGAAACAAGAACTGCGTGCCGCTAAACGCTACGCACTTCGCAGTTGTCCACGTCTGTCGCCATAGTTACGTCATGGCTATGGCAGTTCGAGCGGAAACCGAGGATAGCGCGAGATTGAGTCATTGACAGGCGACATTTTTTTTCCGGGACGGCCACTTATTTAAAATGGTAATTTCTCTGAAATAAAAAATCTTTGGAGACTTTTGGGATATTGTAAGTACACAACTGCAGGAAATACATCACACTGTGCAAGTGATTTTTGGATATTTTATTACAAAATTCTTACATATTGTACCTTTAAGTGACACGTTCAAAAGTTCTGTTGAACTTGTTCAAGGTTCCGTTCATCAAAAGTTTTACTCGTTTATGTTACCACATTTCAGTTTTGATTACCATTTCTAAGAGAGCACCTTTGTGGTTTTTACGAAAGCTGAACAGTGGTAGCATAACACAGAACAGGGTAGCTGAGTTTAATTCAATGTCTTTGGGAAAAGTAAAAAAAAAAACGACCTGAAGAATTGCATGTTGCAGACACTGTGCATTGCGGAGCACAGCAGTGGTGGCTAGAAGAGCTGTCTTCCCGCCTTTGAAAGGACAATTTCATACGTTTACATGTCATCGCGTTATCAGTCAAGACGAAGTACAAGTAAAAACATTAACATAAACAACACAACAACGATGAAAATGAACAGTTTTGACGACAAGCATTCAGTTGTAGCATAGGTAGCACTTCACTCTACAATAACCGGATGTTTACAACCATCCTGAGATTTAACCGGAAATACGTAAGGGCCGTTACATAGTCAACGCGAGCAAGCAACGCGAGCTACACGCTCCTTTTCATAGTACGCAAGCAGACGCAAGCGTCACGGGAGATGCGTGAAATGCAATACACCGATCACGCAACAGGGGGTAGTAGAGTCTAGAGTCGGGTCACGTGATATTCAGATCAAAATGGCAGCTGAAGAGGAGTGCATATTGCTGATTTTACATCGGCGGCAACATTTTTCACCTTCTCCACGGTCTTTCCCATCGCGGTCGCAACCTCTCTCCAGGCATTTTCCAAAGCAAATTTATTGGAATGTAATTGTGGTGAACTGTCGAATATATGCGGATGTATACGAACAAGCTCGAATAACTTTTCCTCTTCGCCAGGGCCGGATTAAGAGTTCAGAGGCCCCTGGGCACAATGTCTTGTAGGCCCCCCCTTAGGCAGGCCAAATGTATATTTTGTCCAAGGACATTTTAATATGGCATTTACAGTTTTACTGACTTAAAAGGAACTTTGTTGTACTATGCTGGAGTAAAGTTCAAAAATGGTTGTTCTTTCCCATAGGAATTTGTAAAGCTATGTTGGGTGGACCTCTGTGCCTCTAGGGGGGTTCGGGGGCATGCTCCCCCGCAAGAAAATTTTGTACATTTTAAGGTTAAATGCATCAATCTGGTGCTCTTTGAGAGATCAAAATTAAGAGCTTCAACCCATGAACTGCTCATTGAACAAAGAAAAAGCATTGACTTGTACCAGGACAATAAAGATGGGTCAAACATCTTTTTAGTTATGATATATAGAGTCTCAAGTCCACATTACATTATCAATGGTGTTTTAGGATGCCAAACTATTATTATAATAATGTAATAATGATTTATATAATTATTCCTATGACGTAAAATCCATATAGCCTATAAATGTACTATATAAATGAAAATGAATATTTCAAAAGTATATATTAGTCTACATTACACTATAATACAGGAGAATTAAAATACTTTTGTCCTAATTTCTTCACTTGCAAGAAATAAACCCTTGAGCTTTTATTTAGGAGAAAACACCAGATAACCATGCTGATTGCGTGAGCAAAGAGCGCACTTTTCTTTCAATCACTCAACACAAACAGGATGCCTATACTTAAAGTCTTATGCTGTTTTATAAAGGCACAAAGCCATATCATGGTTTCGATTTTAGTTCGTTGGCCAAATATAACGCTAGAGACCTTTATATTAGGTTATACATTTTACATCTCATATGTGTTGGGAAAAGGGAGAAGAGAGAGTTCGGCAAAAGGCGGATTCGAACTCGGGTCGAGCGCATCAAAAACTACTTTCAAGCACTTCACGCGCTACGACCTACGCCACTGTAGCTATTCCGTGACAGGCGTCTTTTTGCTATAAAGACAGGCACTTAGTGCAAATATACGCTCCGTTATCTAAAATACATTTTATCAGACCGGCCCTCGCGGCCTCGAAACACTACCGGCCCACCGGGGAGACTCCCGACTCTCCCGATTGCCACTCCGCCCCTGGTGCCCAGGGCCCCTTAGATGTCGTGGGCCCCTGGGCAAGTGCCAAGTTGCCCTAATGGTTAATCCGGCCCTGCTCTTCGCCCGCCATTGTATTCAAATCTTCTTCTTCTGTAAACATAATAATATACCTTTTTATGTACATTACTTGCAATGTCGCCCCCACCGACAACACATAGTATTGCGTGCATCGGTGCGTCGCGTATCAAAAACTAGGATGACACATTTGGCTACGCATCGACGCATAATGGCGGCCGAAGCGTAGCGATGTGTAGCCTTGCGCACGCGTATGCGTACCGATGCGTTGACTATGTAAGGGCCCTAATGCTCGCCAGTGCATACAGGCTATTGGTCGATATGTTCTGGTTCGACCAAAATTCTGATTGGTCGATTTTTTGCCGCGTTCATTTCATCAGGTGGAAAGCACTAACTGCTAATAGGGGTGTTTTCAGAGTATCCTTGTTTCACAGGTAACAGTCTGTCTTCAGAACACCCCCTTGTTTTCACCTTTTTTGGATTAGCCCAACCCAAGAGAGAACGATAAGTAGGCTATAGATTAGAAGGTTTGATGCTGAATATTTTTCGTCGAAATCTTCAGGACTTCAAGGGATAGTTCACTTTGAAATAAATTTTTGATATGTTTTAGCTTACCTCAAGGGCATCCAAGATGTAGGTGTCTTTGTTTCCGCAGTAGTTTCAATTTTGATATTTTTAGGTCAAACCGTTCTTGTCTGTCAGTCATATAATGCAGGTCTATGGTCACCACCTCAAAGAGCATGCACAGAGAAGTCCAAATTAAACATGATTTAATGACTCGTAAATGTAAGTACACATTGATGGCCTAAGACACGAAACGAGCGGTTTGTGTGAGAAAACGAACAGTATTTATATCGTTTTTACGTCTAGTAACGCGCAGACCGAAGCGCCAGCGCCCTCAGATCACTTGGACGTGGCTGTGTTTACAAGAGGTAAAAACGATATAAATACTGTTCGTTTTCTCACACAAACCGCTCGTTTCGTGTCTTAGGCCATCAATGTGTACTTACATTTACGAGTCATTAAATCATGTGTAATTTGGACTTCTCTGTGCATGCTCTTTGAGGTGGTGACCATAGACCTGCATTATATGACTGACAGACAAGAACGGTTTGACCTAAAAATATCAAAATTGAAACAACTGCGGAAACAAAGACACCTACATCTTGGATGCCCTTGAGGTAAGCTAAAACATACCAAACATTAATTTCAAAGTGAACTATCCCTTTCAGTCGACCAAGATTTTCTTTGGTTGAGAACAGCCCTAAATCCAAACATATTGTTTGCCAAGCCATGTTATTTTTTATGTACTTTACATAGTTGTTAGCAGATAACGATGAATATCATCGGCTCTGCTTGTTTATGATTATTGTTCCTAATGAATGAATGAATGAATGGAGTTACTGTTCTTTAATTTGCACATTATCCGTAAATCTGGCCCTTAAACTCAAAATCATGAAACAAATGCTTTCTTTAGTCATTTGCCAGCAATGCATCTTTAATGCATTGATAAGGTGATGCATTGATAAACTCTGAAAAGATTTATCATTTAATGCAATGTAGGTTTTATACCGGGCCTATTGCACGAATACCTGCGAGGAAAAGGAACACAAACATACCTGTAGTTTTCAAATAAGCCTGAAATACTTGATTAGCTGGATTAGGTGCGTTTAATTAGAGTTAAATCTAAATTCGAGGACTTTGGCCCTGTTTTGCACCCCTGTGTTAGATTCTTCCATCACATGTTTAGTAACTAAGCAGATGGTGGACGCTGAGTTGGTAGCTGAAAGGTTGTAGGTTCAAACTCGAGAGGTTGATCCGGTAATACAAGCAGCGAAACAACCCGTTAGTAATGAACTTACCAGGGAGGAACTGGAGGCCCTGCAGCATCTGTCTCTCCTGACTGAAGTCCACCATCAGGTGCGTCATGTTATCTGTGGCTTTGGGCTTCATAGTCAAGCGGAAGGCAGGAGCCATCGTGACCCTAAAAGAGCAAAATAATAATAGTATGGTTATTTGATATAGGTAACTTTATAAAACGGTTAGTTACAATCCTTGATTCTGATTGGTCAATAGCTGTGACTTATTCACGATAAAACACGGCTATGACCAACGGTTCTATAGAGAGCCTAAGCCCCTCCCCTTCCGGTCGACCACCATGGGACCTTATATCGGAAAAATATTGTATGGTAGTCAATGGCGGGAGACAACAAATATTTTGATCTCGTTTGATTTGTGCCCTGAATTACACATATGATGTTTGTCCATTTAAAAGATACATTTTAAAGTCAAGAAAGTCGCAGTTTGATGTAAAACTCTTGAGGTATAAGACTGTGAAAATACGTAATTACAAAGACTACAAACCCCAAAGGAGCACATTTTCTCTCAATGACTGAAGCTAACTTTACTGAAGCTCACTTTACTGAAGCTTACTTTACTGAAGCTAACTTTACTGAAGCTAATTTTACTGAAGCTGACTTTACTGAAGCTAACTTTACTGAAGCTAACTTTACTGATGCTAACTTTACTGAAGCTGACTTTACTGAAGCTAACTTTACTGAAGCTAACTTTACTGAAGCTAACTTTACTGAAGCTGACTTTACTGAAGCTGACTTTACTGAAGCTAACTTTACTGAAGCTAACTTTACTGAAGCTAACTTTACTGATGCTAACTTTACTGAAGCTAACTTTACTGAAGCTAACTTTACTGAAGCTAACTTTACTGAAGCTAACTTTACTGAAGCTAACTTTACTGATGCTAACTTTACTGAAGCTAACTTTACTGATGCTAACTTTACTGAAGCTAACTTTACTGAAGCTGACTTTACTGAAGCTAACTTTACTGAAGCTAACTTTACTGATGCTAACTTTACTGATGCTAACTTTACTGATGCTAACTTTACTGAAGCTAACTTTACTGAAGCTAACTTTACTGAAGCTAACTTTACTGAAGCTAACTTTACTGATGCTAACTTTACTGAAGCTAACTTTACTGAAGCTAACTTTACTGAAGCTGACTTTACTGAAGCTAACTTTACTGATGCTAACTTTACTGAAGCTAACTTTACTGAAGCTAACTTTACTGAAGCTAACTTTACTGAAGCTAACTTTACTGATGCTAACTTTACTGAAGCTAACTTTACTGAAGCTAACTTTACTGATGCTAACTTTACTGAAGCTAACTTTACTGATGCTAACTTTACTGAAGCTAACTTTACTGAAGCTAACTTTACTGAAGCTAACTTTACTGAAGCTAACTTTACTGAAGCTAACTTTACTGAAGCTGACTTTACTGAAGCTAACGTCTGTCATTGTTTCTATAGTCTTACGTTATAATCGTAACGTTACGCCGTCATCGAGTGTTTTGTACCAGACTGCACACACACGAGCAGCGGATCTCGCTCGTTGTTTCGCTTCCCGGGAGATGTAGTTCATTGAGCGATTTTCACATAAAACTAAATGTTACTCTTCTGTTTTATCACAAACTGTGACTTTCTTGACTTTCATAATTATCTTTTAAATTGACAAACATCATATGTGTAATTCAGGGCACAGTTCAGACGGAATAAAAAGATAAGTTGTCTCTCGCTATTGACTACCATACATATTTTTACCGAAATAAGGTCCCATGAGCCGGAAGCGGAGGGGTGGGGCTTAGGCTCTCTATGTATCACTACACAACACCCCTAGCAACCACTCTTAGCAACGTAAACATAGGCTATGTTCTCATTGATGTTGTTCATTGAAGCTTATATGAATTTAAGCTTATGTAAATTAGTTTTTATGAATGAATGTCTTGCTCTAACTCTTGCTCCGGTCTTCGTCAACAACACGCGCTTGCACCTCCTGCTGGTGAGATCGACTAACAGCAGATGAAGAGTATACTCGGTAATCTACCGCTTTTCCTGCATGTCAACGTTGAATTTACTGTCGAATTTGAACCACTGAATTTGTGGAAGCAAATTTCCAAAGCGAAATAAAATAACCGAAAATTGCCTGTTGAATATTATAGGTTGTATTTTTAAACAGTTTGAATATTTTGGAAGTGAAATATGAGAGGTGAATATGGATTAATGACGAAAATGTGTTTGAAATGTTTTGAATTGAAATATTCACAGCTTAAGGCTGAATCCCAATTCTCTGTCTTACCCCTTCCCCTACCCCTAGCCCTTCGTCTTACCCCTAGCCCTTGTCCCTCGAAACCGAGTGGTAAGCGCTAGGGGTGAAAACATACCCCTAAGAAATGAGACGCCACTTGGTTACGTCATACATCGTCATTAATTGGCGTCTGTGTCACCAGGGGCGACAAGTGTTTATCACAAACTTCCAAGATGCCGTCTGCAAGTGTGTTTATTGTCTACAACAAATCGCAGAAATCAAGGGAGAAGAGAAATCTAGATGAACTGCTGCGCTTGTGACAGGGCGCATGTTTACCTGAACGAGCAGAGAGAGAGAGAGGGAGACCCGGTCGCGCGCGCGCGCGCACTCTCTCTCTGCCTTTCACCGTCTCAAAACTAAGCGCTGTATTGCTCTCTCTCCCTCGCACATATTAATCAAAATAAATCGACACGATGTTTTTTTCCTGACGTACATGAACGCTAAAGAAGTGATATGTTGATGTGCATTTTAGCATTGCTAATATTCCTGTGTTTTCGTCTCGTTCGGGATCCGTTTGAAGCTGAATGCATCACCTGAAAAGCTGGCACGTAACTTAACTACGTGTCAGTGTCAAATAATGTACACATAATGAATGGCGACTGTAGAAAGTAAAAGCGGAATCCCGGACATTTTGGGTGATCTCGAAATGTGGGACTGATTGTGCAAATCAGCAATGTAACGTTAGCATAGCCTAGCGTAGCAAACTAGCGATTTTTAAAAAACGTTAAAAACGTTTCAATAAACAACATAGTTGCAAATATATATGTACATAACTGTGTAGAACACAAAACAAGACTGTCATTAATTTTTAATCAATCATTTAAGCCGAAAATACTTAAATTTATGGGACTCTCTGGATGATATGCCCGCAATTGTTGCCGGTTGCGCAGTGCATTCTGGGTACCCCTTGGTTTCAAGTAAGCTCGCGAAAATTCTTGGTTTCAAGGGGTATATACCCCTTCCCCTTAGCCCTACCCCTAGATCAAAATGAGAATTGGGATAGCCCTTACTCTCACGTGAACGTGCAAAATTAAGGGGAAGGGGTAAGGGGAAGGGGTAAGACAGAGAATTGGGATTCAGCCTAAATATTCAACCATGCTGAATTTCAGCCCTAAAAATACAATGTATTAAAATGGAAGCATGGTTAATGCAATGCATATTTTTTTCAAGTAGTGCAATTCAACAGGCTTTTTTGTTTCAAAAACATTTGGCATTATTTTACTTCCATACCTCTTCTAGTGTTCAGTTTGTTTGTTTCCATATTAACAATGTGGAAGAAATATTTCAGTTTATTTTGAGCTTTAAAAAAAATAGTTACTTACTCAGATTTTTGGATCACACTGAATATGTTTAACGTTATATGAATATATAATGTAAGGCTAATTTATACTTTAACTTAATTTATACTGAGAAGCCATTTACATGGTTACATAACTATTCTTGCAGTGCATTTAAAAAATAAAATAAAATAAAATCAATTAAAAATATATTTTATTTGCATAATCCAGATGTTGAGTTTGTTTCATTGAGTTTAAAGTTTCATGAGTTAAAATCTTCAAGCATGTGTTCTGAGTCACCATATTCCATAAAACATATTTTATGTACGATTCTGTGAATTTGGGCATTTACTGTGTTTTCATTTCACAGCCCTTAACAAGTCTATGTCAATTATTTACCAATCTGATGTAAACTTGGTCTTTATCCTCCACATATGATTTCATGAGGATCAAGTTTGAGTTACACTTTATTTTACAGTGTGTTTGACCCTGTTTACACCTGGTATTAAGGTGCGTTTTGGTCAATCGGATCACAAGTGGACGACGCTAAATACAGGTGTAATCTTCATGTCTGGTTTGGGTTTTGTTTCATGTTCATGTCTTTTATTTTGTAGTCATGGTTCCTTTGTTTCCTGGTTTTGTCATGTGGTTTTCTGTTCTGTTCGGTCATTGGTTCATTGCTTTCAGGTGTGTCTTGTGTGTATATATATATATAAGCCCTTATGTTACTATTGTCCTTTGTCTAGCTTTGTTCCCTGTTACCGCTGTTGTGAGTTTGTTCATGTTTATGGTCAAGCCACGTCTTGATTTATTTTTGTATTTGTTCATGTTTTTGTAAATAAACTGCATATGGGTTTTTATCAAACTTTACAAACAGTAAATTATGCATAACTACATGCAAACTAACCTTACCCTATAGTAAGTACATGTTGTTAATTAATATTACTCAGTACTTAAATGTATAATTACACTGTAACAAGGACACCTTCAAATTTTAAGGTGTCATTGTAACAGTGTGATTATATATTTAAGTACTGAGTAATATTAATTAACAACATGTATTTACTATAGGGTTAGTGTAGGACTAGTGTTAGTTGCATGTAATTATGCATGATTTACTGTTATTACTGTGGTAAGTACATTATGTAACAAGGACACTGTAAAATAAAGTGTTACCAAATTAAGTGTAACCCAAGTTTGTACTTTTATAATTAATTATTTTTATATATATTTTGATATTAAAGACAATATTTGGCACAGTATCCCATAACGAGTTCACACAGTGTAAAACAGGAGTTAGTGTGCTGGATTGCAGTAAAATATAGTCTGTTATCATATTTTACTTCAGTAATCATGCCCATTTTCAGCACACCACAGTTTTAAGAGTAACACTCCCATTGTACATACATTGTGGAATTAATAATGCTTTAGAACTGTATAATCAGCCTCGCCGCTTTCATTAGAAGCTTTCATTCCTAATGAATGCAAAGCTACCGCAGATAGGCTTACATATATTATATATAAGGAGAATCTCGGGTTACAAAGCGTTGAGGCTGATTACACACTGGAGCTGCACGATTCTGGATAAATTCAGAATCACCATTTTTTTGTTTAAAATAAAGATTACGATTCTGAACAGACAACTAAATAAAATAACATGTACAGGTGAAACTCGAAAAATTAGAATATCATGCAAAAGTTCATTTATTTCAGTAATTCAACTTAAAAGGTGAAACTAATATATTATATAGACTCATTACATGCAAAGTGAGATATTTTAAGCCTTTATTTGTTATAATTTTGATGATTATGGATTACAGCTTATGAAAACCTTTTCACAATTTGGGGTTTTCATAAGCTGTAAACCATAATCATCAAACTTATAACAAATAAAGGCTTAAAATATCTCACTTTGCATGTAATGAGTCTATATAATATATTAGTTTCACCTTTTAAGTTTATTAAAAAAAAAAATTAAAAAATTGAGTTTGTAATTTGGTTTGATTAGTCGAGACTGTTTTCCAAAGATGGCTCCTGTCTGTATACACGAAGTGGACTGTCTTTATAAAATATCTTCTTATTAAACGGTCTGTACACTTACAAAGTTCTCAATGCTTCGTTTTGCATGTAGGGACCCTCATTATGTTACTGTGTTCGTGTGGGGCTATTTTGAGCCTTGTTAGTGGTATAAACTAGCGATTTCTTTTTACTTATTAGATGCCCCCATTACTAGCGTTATAGGCTAAACAGTTTTTAGAGATAAAACTCTTTACATTCGATTATCATGAAAACAAATCTCAGAGAACGGTTGACTAGGTACCAATGTTTTATTAGACCAAAGGTTCATTTTGCGCCGGAGTTCTCCTTTAACAAGCATCACACAAAAAAAACAGTTGCGTCCGAAATCGTATACTGTATAGTAGGTACAACATTTGGCTTAAAATCTACTTTGTGACCGTTAAACTTTTTTCTTTTATTGTAAGTGTGTAACATTAATTGCCAGTTGCGTTATGTTGCCATTCATAAATCCTCTCCTGTTGCATCATGGGATAGCCAAGTGTCCAACAGATGCGCACTACAGAATCTCCGCAGAAGTAGTAGGTCATCCAAGGACTCTTTGCCTACTGTGTTTTTTTCGAATACTATGTATTTGGACGTACTACTCTATTGGCGTAGTATTTTTCACATAATATATCATAGGGAAGTATTCGATTTCAGACGCAGCACATGACTAAAGTGTCTGAACAATCAACATAATGGCACACAGTTGTCTGAGATCAGACTCCTGTACACACACACACACACACACACATATGTTGGCATTACTATCATTAAAGGCCAATTCATACTTCTGCGTCTCAAAAATGTAACTACACGTCGCGACGACGCGGACCGCAAGATCTGTGATTGGTCGGCTTGGTAACATCGCATTTCCTCCTACGCATTTCCGGCGTGTTCTTCTCTCGTTTTAGTAATTTCACTAAAATGAACTGTTTTTCCACCTCGATTAGCTCCAACTCCAACATGATCCGCTCTCTTTCAGTCGCCATTGCTTGTTGTAGTAGCCTAAACTCAACACAGCCGTGAGGAATCTAAACATTAAAACGCGGCCCCGCCAGCTAGTGTTTCGGCGGTGTAACTGCAGAGCAACACACACATAACGCAGAAGTATAAATGCTCACGATGGCGTCACCTACGGCGTACACTCGACGCAGAAGTATAAATTGGCCTTAATGAGGGTGTGTTCATGCTTGTAGTGCCCTTGATTCAAAAAAGAAAATGATGCATTTAGTCCTGGTTCACTTAGCAATTTTTAAAGGGTTAGTTCATCCAAAAAAGAAAATGATGTCATTAATGACTCTCCCTCATGTCGCTCCAAGCCCGTCAGACCTCCGTTCATCTTCAGAACACAGTTTAAGATATTTTAGATTTAGTCCGAGAGCTTTCTGTCCCTCCATTGTAAATGTGTGTACGGTATACTGTCCTTGTCCAGAAAGGGAATAAAGACATCATCAAAGTAGTCCATGTGACATCAGTGGGTTAGTTAGAATGTTTTGAAGCATCGAAAATACATTTTGGTCCAAAAATAACCAAAACTAGGACTTTATTCAGCATTGTATTGTGTTCCGGTTCTGTTGTGGATCCGCGTTCAGTGCCGCCGCTGACGTAAGACGCTGCTGACGTGTGTCTGGTGCGCCCGTGTATTCGGGGTCAAATAAATATGGCTGGGCAAAAAATTGCAAGTCTTCCTCTGTGTGGAAATCCTTAGACATGTTTGCGAAGATTGTTTTGTTTCCAGCGTGCGTCTCCCTCAGACTGTAGACGAAGCTCGGGCGCACCAGACACACGTCAGCAGCGTCTTACGTCAGCGGCGGCACTGAACGCGGATCCACAACAGAACCAGAATACACACACACACACACACACACCAGACACACGTCAGCAGCGTCTTACGTCAGCGGCGGCACTGAACGCAGATCCACAACAGAACCAGAATACACACACACACACACACACACCAGACACACGTCAGCAGCGTCTTACGTCAGCGGCGGCACTGAACGCAGATCCACAACAGAACCGGAATACACACACACACACACACACCAGACACACGTCAGCAGCGTCTTACGTCAGCGGCGGCACTGAACGCGGATCCACAACAGAACCGGAAGACAATACAATGCTGAATAAAGTCCTAGTTTTGGTTATTTTTGAACCAAAATGTATTTTCGATGCTTCAACACATTATAACTAACCCACTGATGTCACATGGACTACTTTGATGATGTCTTTATTCCCTTTCTGGACAAGGACAGTATACCGTACATACATTTACAATGGAGGGACAGAAAGCAGCGCTTCTGTGTTGTACGTCACACGGAGGCTCACTATTGGCCGACGCTGGTCATGTGTGTGATATGATGCGTCTGACGTACAACACAGAAGCGCTGCGCTGTTACACTACGTGAAATCTCAAGGCCCACAGAGAAGGAAATGAATAGTTGAATAAAGTCGTTATTTTTGTTTGTTTTTTGCGCACAAAAAGTATTCTCGTCGCTTGATAAACTTAAGCTTGAGCCACTGTAGTCACTCGGACTATTTTAACGATGACTTTAATAACTTTTCTGGGCCGGCCAGTTTCAATTCCTTAGAAGCCTATGGAGGAGTGATCCAGCTCTCAGATTTAATCAAAAATATCTTAATTTGTGTTCTGAAGATGAACGAAAGTCTTACGGGGTTGGAACAACATCAGGCCGAGTATTGATGACATAATTTACATTTTGGGGTGAATTAACCCTTAAAGCAAGGGATTGAAGCCTGGGAGAAAAACACTGACATTCTGGATTTGGACGGCAATAAAATCACCTTACGACCCCATGAGAAACAATCACCGTCAGTTTAGGGCTTAGGAGTGCAAAACAAAAAAAATGTGAATGTATGTGTCATGCAGTGGACACACAACCGCACACAGAGAGTGGAACATATACTGTACCTATCTTTGATCTGTTTGGCAGCCTTGGAACAGTGATTGAGGTGAAGAAAAAGAGGAAGAGTAAAAAAGAGCAGGTCGTTAGTATCGCCATGCGGGTGTGAAGTGAAAGCATGCAATTCGGCTCAGTGCTGGACTGCATATACACACACAAACACAGGGTAAAGTAAGATCCTAAACATAAAAAGCACAGGTTAATGAGCAGTTTAATAGATTGTTGTTGTTTTTTTTAGGGATGTCCCGATCCGATCCACAGCATCGGTATCGTGCCGATACTGGCCCAGAACGCTAGATCGGAGATCGGAGGGGAGAAAAAAATATGATCCGATACCTGCTTGAATATTAGCATTTCCCTTATCCAGATAAGCGGTGCAGCCTGCAGATTGGGCGGTTTTGCAATCTATTTTGCGGGCAAAAATTGGTTTGGGCGGGTAGATAAAAATTGGGCTGGTTTCGGATCAGTTCGGCGGGTTTTTGTAGCCGAAACACCGGCACTTCAGATCCTTCTTTCGGCAATAGTATCCAGCTGCAGACCCGCAGCACCACCAGTTTCAGAACCCCAGCGCCAGAACCGGAAGTAAGGGGCGGAGCTAACGTTCTAACACCAGCGCCAGGACCGGAAGTAAGGGGCGGAGCTAACGTTCTAACACCAGCGCCAGGACCGGAAGTAAGGGGCGGAGCTTACGCTCTAACACCAGCGCCAGGACCGGAAGTGAGGGGCGGAGCTTACGCTCTAACACCAGCGCCAGGACCGGAAGTGAGGGGCGGAGCTTACGTTCTAACACCAGCGCCAGGACCGGAAGTGAGGGGCGGAGCTTACGTTCTAACACCGGCGCCAGGACCGGAAGTGAGGGGCGGAGCTTACGTTCTAACACCGGCGCCAGGACCGGAAGTGAGGGGCGGAGCTTACGTTCTAACACCAGCGCCAGGACCGGAAGTGAGGGGCGGAGCTTACGTTCTAACACCGGCGCCAGGACCGGAAGTGAGGGGCGGAGCTAACGTTCTAACACCAGCGCCAGGACCGGAAGTGAGGGGCGGAGCTTACGCTCTAACACCAGCGCCAGGACCGGAAGTGAGGGGCGGAGCTTACGTTCTAACACCAGCGCCAGGACCGGAAGTGAGGGGCGGAGCTTACGCTCTAACACCAGCGCCAGGACCGGAAGTGAGGGGCGGAGCTTACGTTCTAACACCAGCGCCAGGACCGGAAGTGAGGGGCGGAGCTTACGTTCTAACACCGGCGCCAGGACCGGAAGTGAGGGGCGGAGCTTACGTTCTAACACCAGCGCCAGGACCGGAAGTGAGGGGCGGAGCTTACGTTCTAACACCAGCGCCAGGACCGGAAGTGAGGGGCGGAGCTTACGTTCTAACACCAGCGCCAGGACCGGAAGTGAGGGGCGGAGCTTACGTTCTAACACCAGCGCCAGGACCGGAAGTGAGGGGCGGAGCTTACGTTCTAACACCAGCGCCAGGACCGGAAGTGAGGGGCGGAGCTTACGTTCTAACACCAGCGCCAGGACCGGAAGTGAGGGGCGGAGCTTACGTTCTAACACCAGCGCCAGGACCGGAAGTGAGGGGCGGAGCTTACGTTCTAACACCAGCGCCAGGACCGGAAGTGAGGGGCGGAGCTTACGTTCTAACACCAGCGCCAGGACCGGAAGTGAGGGGCGGAGCTTACGTTCTAACACCGGCGCCAGGACCGGAAGTGAGGGGCGGAGCTTACGTTCTAACACCAGCGCCAGGACCGGAAGTGAGGGGCGGAGCTTACGTTCTAAACCGAGTAACGCCACCTAACGTTTTGGAGCGTAATTTGCTTAGACACGAAACGGCATTATTACACACGAAACTTCATACTTTATACGTATTATAATGATACATTAAGGTATAGTACAATAAGCATTTTAAAACATTGATTTTGAGTAATATAATTCTATATAGTTATCCGTTTCATTGTATTATGAGAGTTACTTCCTGATCATGATGGTGAAAAATAATGCTTGAAACTTATGGTCATTTTATATAAAATATACTTTATTTCACAAGAACATGTGCAGAATGCATTTTTCTTTATGTAAAATAATGTCAAAAATCTAAAAAGAGAGAGAAAATCCGGCATTGTTTTAAAAGAAACCATAAAAATGTACCGTACTTCAAATAATAGCCGAGTCCCAAATAGACGATTGTCTCTTTACACGCCTGGTGTGGCTGCAGGTCTGGGTAAATATAAGGCCGGTCTCAAATAGAGGTTGGGTCTGTTTTTTAGTTTCAGGTTGTATTAAATCTTCTAAAACCCGTCAGATCGTCCGCTTTTTGGCAGCCGCCAAAGCAAATTTTTGTCCCGCCAAAGCCTATTTTGATCGGTGAGTGATGTAGAATAGAATGACTGCTGCGCATGACAGGGCGCTTAACGCCGCGCGCGCGCACTCTCACAACACGAGCGCTGTCTTGCTGTTTATTTGTCACATACCAGTTATAGTTCATACAACGAGCAGTGACTCACTGTGTAATAAAAACATACCCTAAATATTATTTAAAAGGTGCAACAATTTTAAATATTTTTAAATACTTGCAAAAATAACCATGCTTGTGTCATTGTAAATAATTCCGCCCCTCCCTCACTTCCGGTTCTGGCACTGGGGGTTCTTAAACTGGTGGTGCTGCGGGTCTGCAGCTGGATATATCTCTCTTTCGGCGACCGTCTCACCCTCTCACTCACTCACTCACTCACTCACACACACACACACACACACACACACACACGCACGCACATCTCTGGCTGACGCGTGCCCCCTAAACTCACATCAGACACTCCCTCCCACTACCTTCGGTGTACTATAGACGCGGTTTTGCAATCCGTCTCCTCAGTTTATAAACTGTACACAAGATTTTGACGCATAAAGCAAGTGTGTGTGTGTGGGAGTGTGGAACGCGCACTGCATGGCACGGAGCGCGGGCGCGAACACTTGCGTTTTCCTTTCAACAGTGGAAACAACTTAAAATACTCTATCATTTCTGGTCATGCATAAAATAACAAGTTATTTATATATAACTTATGTCAAAATTTATTTTTTTGCACAGCTTTTGGTGTGCATACAGTTCCAATTCAAATTTTGGTGTTCAACTTTGCGTTTTAAAAATACAACAACCGTTAATTTTTAAAAGGAAAAACGAATGGACGCAAGAGAACACGGATCAAAGGGTAATTTTAAAGCTTGTTAATGATTAACTTCAAACCCAATGGTACTTTAACTTTTTTTGTGTGTGTGTGTTTGAATAAAGGGTGGCAGTCTTTCCTAATCAACTGTGTTGTGGACTAGCTTATAGCCTACTGGAGAAGTATTTGTTCTCCATTTGAGTGAATTGTTTTTAGGTTGCTAATTGAGCAAAGTGCTTCCATAATATTATTAGTAGCCTATTAGTATTAGTTCAAGAATAAAATAGAATAAAATAAAAATGTCGGATTGATATCGGTATCGGCAAATAGCCAAAGCGGCGGAATCGGTATCGGTATCGGAAGTGAAAAAGTGGTATCGGGACATCCCTAGTTTTTTTGATTCACTTTTAATTAACAGATCATAGAATCACAGACTTTTGTTATCCATTAGCATTACTTAAAGGGATAGTTCACCCAAAAATGAAAATTCTGTCAGTAATTACTCGCCCTCATGTTGTTCCAACCCTGTAAGACTTTCGTTCATCTTCAGAACACAAATTAAGATATTTTTGATTAAATCTGAGAGCTGTATGTCACACGCATCACACACATGACCAGCGTCGGCCAATAGTGAGCCTCCGTGTGACGTACAACACAGAAGCGCTGCGCTGTTACACTACGTGAAATCTCACGGCCCACAGAGAAGGAAATTAATAGTTGAATAAAGTCTTTATTTTTGTTTGGTTTTTGCGCACAAAAAGTATTCTCGTCGCTTGATAAACTTAAGGTTGAGCCACTGTAGTCACTCGGACTATTTTAACGATGTCTTTAATAACTTTTCTGGGCCGGCAAGTTTCGATCCCTTAGAAGCCTGTGGAGGAGTGATCCAGCTCTCAGATTTAATAAAAAAATATCTTAATTTGTGTTCCGAAGATGAACGAAAGTCTTACGGGGTTGAACAACATGAGGGCGAGTAATTACAGACAGAACTTTCATTTTTGGGTGAACTATCCCTTTAAAGGATTCATTCACTTCAGAATTAAAATTACGAGCATTTGTGGTTTTATATATATATATATATATATATTTTTTTTTATATATATAGAAAATGAGCGATTGTTTGTCTAGATAAGACTCTTATACCTCGGCTGGGATCGTGTCGAGACTTTGAAGCAAAACTGAAACTCACATTTGGAGTTGGACCTTCAACCCGTTGGACCCCACTGAAGTCACTATATGGAGAAGCATCCTGGAATGTTTTCCTCAAAAACATTAATTTTTTTGACCAAAGAAAGATATGAACATCTTGCATGACATGATGGGGGTGAGTAAATTTAATTCTGAAGTGAACTAATCCTTTAAGTGAGAAATCAACCTCTAGAAAATAAGCAGAATTATTATGAATGTTTTGTTCTTGGTTCTCTCTGGCTGCAGGTTTAAAGTGCCCCTATTTTGCTATTTTAAATGTTCCTAATTTTGTTTTTCAAGTCTCCTACAATAGGTGTACATGCATCCAAGGTTAAAAAAAAGTTTAATTTTCTAATAATATAGCATCAGCTCATTTCTCACAGTGAAACCAAACGCCATTAGCATATTTGAATTTCAGCTCTAGAGGCTTTCAAAACACTCGATACATACAAGTTTTACCGTATCAATTCCAGCATGAGTCCTTATTCTTTGGATTTGCTTTGGCAGCAGAAAACAGCATTTTTTTCAACATGTCGACAACACAAACCCAACTCTTCCAGTCGCAGCTACAACTACAGTGTTTGTGCGTCAAAGTGAAGCCGATGAAGACCATTATGCAGATTTGTTAAAAACTCAGGTTCAAGCAGTAAGTAAGACTGGCGACTCATTTCAGGCAGATCTTTCTTTTTATCTTTGAAACTTTGCAGACCTTTTACATTCACAAACAGCTCAATTACACACTGCATGAAAGGTCATATCCGAAAAAGCATAATAGGGGCACTTTAAACAAGCCACAGTGAATTTTAAGAGACACCAAAACCAGCATTTTAATAAATGACATAACAGATGCCCGAAGTTGCACCTATCCTTTATCAAACACATCAGTAAGCGCCTACCTTAGTGAACTCGCCGTCATCTGTAATGTGCAGCGCATTGTTAGCGAACTCCAGAAGTTCCTCTGCACTCTCCAATGCACTGGTGCTCTGGGTCAGCTGGTTCTGCAGGACAGATAAAGAGACATCATTATTAGTGATTTTTAAATGATCTGTGTTAGCTGATAACATCCAGGCTCGTTTTTTTCTAAATTAAACAGTATAATCTTTTTTCTATTCAAGGCTTGCAAAGAGATAAACAGTTGTGCATTTTTTATAGTTAAAGCTGCAATGTGTAGTTTTCCTCTTTGTCGCCATCTCTGTTCGAAATCTGCAATTGCAGTTATTCGCGGAATTATCAGCTTTACGTGGGTTGTGCCTCGGCGCGGCACAGCGCGGATGAACACAATGTTTTGAGGAGAATGTGCCGGAGTCGATACTGGCATTCAGAATCACAGATTATTCTTTTTGGAAGTATGACCAACATAATAAGTTTCACTGGAAAATGTCTGCACAAGTAAGTAACATCCACTTTTGTTCTGACTAACTAAGGGGAAAAAAGCATTGCAGTAAATCACGCTGATTAAATCTAACGATCACTTATTATATCACGTCAAAACGTGCAAATTGTACTTGTTAATTGTTAATGTTAACAACATCAGCATTGCGTGACATTTAATGGCCTTCCGATATTATCCTTGTTTTCGCATGGGCCGGTTGCAGTCTCTCTCTTTTTCTGTAGCCACTGCGAAGTCTTTTGCATTTTACAGCGGGCGAGTCTCCAGTTGTCACTGGTGATTGTCCTTTGAACCTTTCTGGATCCGCCATCAAATTAATACGTTTAATTATCTCAAATGTGTGAGAAAAGGCTATAAATCTCCACCTCCAACATCCTCACACTCATAGCCTACTAGCCGAGACTCTTCTTTATGTGTACAGATGTGTGTGTGCAGATGTGTGTGTGCAGATGTGACGTAATGACACAAAGACATGCTCGAATTTCCCGCGGAAATCCACTAGTACCACTGGAATTAAAAACATTATTACAAGCTTACCGTTTTGAATCGAGCTACGGCAAGCAGAGAGTTTTGAACACTGGCTGGTTATGTACTTGCTCAAAAATTTATTTTGGATAATTTTTAACCCAAAAAAGTTACGGACTGCAGCTTTAAACAAAAATCACACAAGCGGTTGTTTTTCCTAATTTCCACATTACTGTGATTCACCCATAAGCAGAAATCAGAGCTGTGTTGATATTCAGACCAACAGCACAATTGCGAGTGTAAATTTCCATATGGCAACAATTAATTTCTACTCATTTCCTTGTTATTCAGAAAAAAATACAATATATTGCACTATGGGATTTAATGATGTGCTGTTGTGCTTAATGATGGGCCAATGATGTGCTGTTTTTAAGTCACATGACATTTGAATGTCCCTCCAAAACCCTCACACTGAAAGACGCCTGTTGAAGTGCTCCAGAAAATGCTCTATTAACCTCATGTCTAAACATCTTCCTTTTCCAAAACCTTTTCACAATATTCTAATTTTGAATTTCATAAGCTGTAAGCCATAATCATCACAATTACAACAAATAATATCTCACTTTGCATGTAATGAGTCTATATAATATGTTAGTTTCACCTTTTAAGTTGAATTACTGAAATAAATGAACTTTTGCACGATATTCTAATTTATAGAGTTTCACCAGTACAGTAAGCGTGTTACTTTTAATCAACTTACATCAAATGCAAATCACATTTTTATGGACATATTCGATTTTTTTGGTGACACGCCTAAAATATCTTCATTTTCGACCATCAATACACTGCATTACTAGCCTGCATTACAATCATGTCGCTCAACATAAACTCAGTTTCTTCAGCACCCCAAAAATGTGATGCCTTGTTTACCAACTTGTTTATGAATTTGCGCATGACAATGTCAACTATGTATGTTAGAAGCACATGCACACTTTGGTCAGAGATGGAATAGATATGATTAAAGTGTTGACATGACAAACTAGCGATTTCTTTTTACTTAATAGATGCCCCCATTACTAGCGTTATACGCTAAACAGTTTTTAGAGATAAAACTCTTTACATTCGATTATCATGAAAACAAATCTCAGAGAACGGTTGACTAGGTACCAATGTTTTATTAGACCAAAGGTTCATTTTGCGCCGGAGTTCTCCTTTAAGAGGAAATATCCAAAAACGGGAGGAGGACCCCAAGAGAAACTTAAAGACACTGAAATGGTGATGAATATATATGGTGGACAGTCGCCTATGTTTTCCTTTGGCTGTTTGTAATGTAACTGATTGTTACGCCTGGGGCCGGTTTCACAAAGCTATTTAAGACCTATAGTGTTAGACAAGTCTAAAATTTGCTCATAGACTAGTCTAATGCAAGTTAGACTGTTTCACAAAAATAAAGACTGACTTAATTTAGACCAAAAAAATTAGACACCTCCAGGCTAACTTAGGTCTAAGACTCTGTTACCTTGGCAACCAGCCGTAACAATCAGTTACACTACAAACATTGTGAAAGAAGCATATATGTTACCCTGGCAACCAGCAGTAACAATCAGTTACTTTACAAACAGCCGAAAGAAAAGGGAAAATGGCCCTTTCCAAATTAAACATTTCTTCTTGTTACTACATTCTCCGCTAAATTTCCCAAGTAAAATGTCCTTGTAACTGTTATTATACTCCTCCAACAAACACATTTTTTCCGCTGGGGTAAACTTACTCGATCCTCCATGTTTTTTGTTTTGAAAAGTGTCTTATTTTACCCAGAATGCATTGCAGTGTAGTCCTCCTACTTAAGATAGTCAGAGTCTTCAGTGCTTTTTGCAACGGTCTGATTTAGATGTCTATCTGAAGGCTGACTATTTACTATATCTAAGCCATAGTCAAAGTCTGTCTTTGTGAAACCGTTCCCCAGGTGTAAATGCCTAAGATCCTTCAAGAGTGAGGTTCTGAACCACAGATTCTTGTTTAACAGTACACTTCACTTTTATTTGCATCTAAAAATGAGAGCTGAAAAATCCTGACACTGAAAAAAAAAAAAAAAAAAAGAAGCTTTACCCTACATGTCCACTGAACTGGACGAAATCTGCTCAGTACGCCAACGAACTGTTCAGATCTGCAGAAAACAGTGATGTCATCATCCAGCTCAGTTCAGATCTCGTCCAATTGCAGTCCAATTTTGTCAGTGCAGTCAAAAATCAATAATATTACTGACTATTAAGTGTCTCCAAATAAGCAAGCCAGGGGCAACAGTGGCTAGAAACCCAAAACTTCATTGATGAAAAAAAAAAAAAAAAAACAAGCTCGGTCAGGTGACCAGTCCTCATCTGGTCAAATGAATGAACATTAACAAGTCAGATTATGGATTGAGCATTCATAATATTTCATCCAGATCCAGATCCAAACGATCCGTTTTCTGCTTGAAGTTTGGGATACTTTAAGCCGGCGTTAATAATAATGCTGCTAATAATAATAACAATTTATGTAATTAATTTATCTGGTAAACACAAATAGTGCATAATATCAGGCTGTTATCAGCCATAACATGAATAATAATTATTTTTATCAGCCAGAATTTAACACTCTTAGTGGACCACTAATATTTAATGCTCAATATTCAATTGCCTTTGAAATAGGTTAAAAATGTAAAACATCTTGAAAGTCCCCTGTGGTGTTGTTTATATGTGTATGTGGTGTTTTTAATATGCTTTAAGACAAACCATGTGTAAATTCATAAGTCGACAGCATTGCTGAGTATTTTCTCCTTATATTAAAACTGCAGTGAACCAAAGACAGTCTCAAAAACACGGTTTGAAATCGCTGGTGTTTCTGACGTCACAAACGACCTTGTAACCAATCAGATCAACGTGTGATCGTCAACCAGTGGATCTCTGAGCTGAGTGAGTGAGTGGAGGCGGGGCTCATTTGCATATTCATAGAGCCGCGTATACTAAATGAGGCAAGGGTGTCGAGTTACATAAGCTATTTTAAAGCATGAAGACATTTTTTTCACAGGAAAAAAATGTAATATTTAATTTTGGTGATCAAAGATAAGTTTTAAGGGATACAAGTATTGTTATTAAAACTACAGAGGGACTTCTAAAATTCAAGTAAAATATTATTACAATAATAACCAGGATGGTCAGAGAGGAGATGCGTTTAGAAAGTGTCAAACTGGCGATGACCAATATTTAGATATTGGTGTATAAGACTGATTCATGTGAACAAAAAATAGAGATAAAACATTAAAGAACAAGACAAACATGAAAGACATACAGAAGCTTCAGATAACCTTAAAAAGACCCCAACACAACGGTTCCTGAGGCCGGAGTGTTTACGCACTGTTATGTGGTTAAGGATGGGAAGGGAGCTGATGGTTCATCACGTATTTGAGCTCATTTCTCTCTCTGGTATTGTTCCTGTTCAGTGGACTTAGAGGGCTGGGCTCAATACTGCCATTACAGCACCATGACATCACCAGCCTGACCAAAGCCAACCACACACACCACACACACACACACACACACGCACACCACACACACACACCACACACACACAGCACGCACGCACGCACACACACACACACACCACACACAGCATGCACGCACGCACGCACGCACACACATGCACGCACACCACACACACACACACACACACACTAGGGATGTCACTTTTGAGAAAAATCAAATTCGAACGGATATCGAATATCAAGCAATGTATTCGAATATATTCGAATATCTACGAGCCCCGCCCACCCACCCAAAAAAAACAAAAAAAACCCCACCGTAACGGAGATCACACATTTATTAACAGTCTGACAGTCATAAACAGGACTCAGGCCTGTCTGAAATTTTTTTTTTGACTTCATGTTTTAAACAGCAGGTTTTCAACTTAATCTATTTGAAGTGCCAGTATGCATAGCCAATCACAAAATTAGGCGCTACATGGGGAAAAACTGAAGCGGAACAGCACGGCACAAACAATAACGTGACAACTTAAACAGCAGCAGGAGTAAGGCCTATATAGCCTAGCCTAATTCATTTCCTAATATTGTTTGCTAGAAACACCAATTTATCAACTTGATCTGGATCAAGTGCGGCTCTCCTTTTATTGACGATGTTCTCCGCGGTGGAGAACACGCGCTCGGAGCGCGCACACGTGCCTGGCACACATTTGCGCGTCTTTGCATGGACCCCTATAATCGGATTGACGGCTCAAAAACTAAAAAACCTTCATGTAAACACCTTAATCGATCCGATGGTTTACTCCTTTTGTAATCCGATCGAGAGAACATGTAAACACTTGATCGGATTGAAAACCGAAACTAAAAGGACTGCGCATGTGCAATGACGTTTTACGCACGGAGCGAGCTGTTCTTTCTGTTGAATAAAGTGTGAGTGTTCCGTTATTAAAAAAATCTCATTTCACTGTGAAGTTAAGCAGGACAACGTCCCACCAGTGCTTGTTTCAGATTCTCATCCACAGACGACTGGTTTTGGGCGCGGGGTTTTACTGCGTGATCAACAAGCAGCACGGCAAATCAAGCTCATCGTCTCCAAATCATGACCAGAGACGGATAAATATTAAGTCTGCTGTTTAAAACAAATAAAGAACCAATAGAGGAGAATAGTTATGCGCGAACAGCGGCATATTCGTGCAGTGTGCGCATGTCAAAAAAATCAATTCCGATTTGAATCTTGTGACATATAACGCGCACATTACTTTATGTATCATTCATGTAAACACCGTGTTCGGATTCATCAATCGGATTGTCCATTTACAGACACTACTTTTTAGATGAGTTGGGTTAGAAATTGTCCGCTCAGGCTGGCCGTTCTGCGCGTTATATCTTCCATTTTCAAAACAGGGTGGCTATTGGCTATTATTCACTTGATTTGGTCATGAGCTTACGCTACAATACGTTTTAGAGTGCCAGCTACTGGATGAGATGGCAAAAAAATAAAAAATAAAAAACGGTCTAAATCATAGACTGTAAAAAATGCGCTAAACATGGCATTTTAAAAACCGGTTAGTTTATTTATAGTTCGATTACAGATATTTCACGTCATGTTCGAATGCATATTCGAATATCGAATTGAAAGTGACAGCCCTAACACACACACAGCACGCACGCACACACCACACACACACACAGCACACGCACGCACACCACACACACAGCACGCACGCACACACCACACACACAGCACGCACGCACGCACACACCACACACACGCACACACCACACACACACACACAGACACACCACACACACACCACACACACTATACACGCACACACCACGCACACCACACACACACACAATTAACAGAAACTAAAAAAAATAAAAGCAATCAAAGTTCTCTGATAACATCTTATGTGTATTCTACATTGGTTTTATTTGGGAATTCAATGCGTCTAAATACTCAAAGCATTCCCACGAGCCACTCCCGAAGTGCTTTGAGGTGGTTTGGGTTTAGACTCTGACCTGAAGCTCATGTGATTTCCGCACTGTTTCTTGTTTGATGGTACTCGTCATACTCTCTTTCATCTCCTCCAGCATGGCGTACAGCGTGTCGAATTCCTCCTCTAAATCCGACACCACCTGTGTGGAGTTGACCTGAAACCAGACAAAATTTCAAAATGAAGGGAGAAACATCAGTTTAAACCAGAAAACAAATGACCGATTAGATACACAGTGGCTTATTTTTCAAATGTATAAGCATCGTTACAGTAATTAAAACAGTTATTAGATATCTCTCGCCATTGTTTAAGCCCTACTCACTCCACCTTGCAGAGACAAAGCGACCTGAAATATTTATTTTTCAAAGAGACTTGGCAACTTCCAGTGACTAGCCATCAGTGACAGGATGCAGTCTCTAACATTTAACCTTAAGCAATATCAATATGAGCAATATAAATCATGTTTTGGTAAATAATTATTTTGACATCAAATTCATAATTGTGACATGAAAAGTGAAGATAATTTTTTTTTTTTAATTTTTCAAAATTATGACAAAAACATGATTATGACAAATTGAAATTATGAGATACTAAGTCCTAATTATGATAAAACTGTAAAATTATGAGATAAAAAGTAGAAATTATCAGATAAGCAATCAAAATTATGACAAAAAAACATTATTATAACATAAATTGAAGTTATGAGATTAAAATAAAAAATTATGAGACAAAAAGTAGAAATTATCAGATAAGTCAAAATTTAAAAATAAACAAATAAATTGACATCAGTTAAATTATGACATAAAAAGTATATTATAAGTCACAATTATTACAGGAAAAGTAAAAATAATGTAACAAAGTCGAAATTATTAGACTTTTTAGGCCATAGGTCTCATAATTCCAACTTTTTATGTCAGATATGTCATAATTATGATTCACCAAAGTATTATGTTTCCTTGTTTGGTGGAAATTGGCTTCCATAACTATGTAACCATAAGCAGAGCTGATTTTTTTAAGATTTAAAAATTATGTGTGAAAAAATGTCTGAGCTCTTATGTTGCATATACGCCAATTAATTTAGTGTGTTTAGACCCAGATAGCCTCTGTGTACACACAGACTCTTCCCTCCAGAATGTTCATATTTCTATTGTTTTGTAATGATGTTCATACCCGCTATTAGGCAAACATAACTAGGAATATCTCCCAGCACCCACCAGTACGTGTGGTGTAATGGGATTACAGTAATGGTGTTTACAGTGCAGAGTTGCTAAGTTTGACTTTGTACAGTAAATTCGAAGACTCACCTGAACTCGACCCAAAGTGTGATTCAGCGCTTCAATGAAATGATTGAGCTCCTCATTTTTGTTTGCTAATGTGGTAATAATCCTCTGTAAGGCATCCTGCAAAAGAAAAAAAACATATAGCATTATTTTATGTTTGTTTTATTGCATTTATTTGCTTGCGGTTTTGTTTCTTTGCACTTATTTGATTACTGACGGTTTACTTGCTTTCAATAATTCCTAGAGAACTTTTTACTTTCATTATTCATGTGATACTAAAATTGGCACTGGGAATTGAGAGATTTCACTGGTATCTAAAAATTTGGTATCATAATACATATCGTTATATATATGAAGTAAAGAATTGTTCATGCACTGATGTATCTGGCAAGGTGTCAATATTTCTTTGTTTTTGGCATTTTGGAATCATTTTTATATGGGATATGACCCACTCGAAGGCTTCATTGGTGTATTTTCAATCTCTTTCACATTCTCTATAAGGCAAAAACACACTACTTTTGTGTTAAACATTTAAACAATCTATGTGAACTTGTAGAAAAGACCAGAAAGCTTCACCAGGATGATTTATTAAAAATGTGATATTTAACATTCAAGTCTAAAGCCCAAAGTATCCTTCACTTGTTCACATTTATTTGATGACACATCAATCTTAGGTTCCCATATCATCACTGCATGTTTATCACACATCACATTTTCCTTCCATATTGTGTGGTCCTTTAGTCAGTAAATCTATTTTAAAATCAAAGCACCATTTATATGCGCAAAACATTTGACCTCATTTAATATACAGCCGTATCTGTCCTCTGAGGCTTGTTAGGTGTCCTATATAGCAACTCATGCGGAAAGCTCTCTGATGCTCTGCTTGAGGAATAACATTGGTCTTTATTTGCTTTGCAATCCAGAAAAATCACATTTTTAAAAACTAACACCACCAAACAGAGATAAAAAAATCAGTGAGTGTTATCACGGCATATTTGCAAACAACTTTTTTTGCCACACCTGGCAATGGCCGGTGACTTAAGAAAATGTACCGGCCAAAAATACTTTTTACCGGCCATGAAACTGTTTTTGCAAATAGAGGGAGTAATGACAACACAATTTTAGATACCTGTGAAAATTAACAATTTTCAGGTACATAAATTTAATAAAGTAATCAAATGTACAATAACACACAACATAGTCTTCTTCACTATGTAAATTAAACATAGAATATTCCTTATTAAAGTTACAAAACGTATTCAGTCAAGAGCAGTGAGTGTTTTTTGTTTAAGGACACAGACGGCAGCAGGAATATTAGGCTGCTGTCACTTTAAGAGGGAATGCACAGATCCAATATACAGTCCCTCCAGAAAAACGCGATTATGCGATCGCTGTATTCAATGCAAAATCAGCCAAAGTCCGCATATTTATGCGAAGGTCGCATTTTTTCAAATACTCCGCAATTTCGCCGCATAAATTGCTGATTTCCGCGCAAAATATGCGGGGCTTGCATGATTTCATAATCCCCGCATTTTCGTCGCAAAAGAGTCACATATATCTTAGCAGAAAGTTGGAAAATGTTGCGTTTGCTTCACACAAGAGCAGCCACTTCCCCCTGTTGCCATGGGAACGTTATGAAGTGACGTAATTACGCGACGTGAACATCATTGAAAAGCTGTAAAACAGGAGCACACTTTATTTTAAAATATTTCATTTATTCATTTTTACTGAAGTTGTAGCATATTCCTCTAGTAAAGCTACAGAACTTGTTTGACTCATCAACGTTTTGTAAGTTTGATGTTTGAGGAAAAATAGGGATAGCTCAAAGCTGAAGTTATTGCAGAGGCCAGACAGACTCACGGAGGCGATTGGCATCTCACAACTCGCACTTTATTCCCAAATCGAACTCGTAACTGTCTGTCACACGTTCTACCGTCCACATCGTTACTTAATAAACAAAATAAGATAAAAGAAGTAGCATCAAACAGAAATTACCCGCACACATGGGGTGTTCGAGGCGCATGGCACATACAATATAATACTGCAGACAGTTAGACAGGGAGCGCGCAACTCTTAAAGGGGCCACACCTTATTTCCACTCGATACAGTCTGAAATAAAACAAGATGAGAAATTAAATATTTCCAGAACTTTCTGTGATGTAGTATGCTTGCTTATCAAAGGAAGTAATAAGAACGGACTCTTTACATTAAGGTAGTAGCCTAGTGAGAACAGGGTGTTGGGGAGATCACTTTTTTTCCCTCTTTTTCATCAAACCGCAGTTTTTGCAAGTTCCCGCAATTTTTGCAAGTTCCCGCAATTTTATCGCAAAAAATTGCATAAATATCCCGCATATTCCATCGCATTTTTAAAGAAAACGGGCCGCGTAATCAAGGATTTTTGCCCGCAACAATCACAAAAAAACTCCGCGTTTTTCTGGAAGGACTGAATATACTGCTACACATACGTTTTCTTTCTCAACTGTTTACATAACTGACTGTTTACAAGGTTACTCGCCAATTAGGGATGGGCACAGTACCCGATCACTCGAGTACTCGAACGTGACAGCGACGATCGATCATAAAAACGATGATCTGAGTTTTAAAAAAGACATTTTTTTCTGATTGGTTATAGCAGCATTTTGGGTGGGACATTGAGCTCTGATTGGTTAGCGTTGCCAGAGCGCGGTCCAAAGTCCAAACTGAAAAACAGAGAAAATGGCTTCAAAGTCACGTAGTGATGTCTGGCTCAGTGTTGCCAAGTCCGCTAATTATAAGCGACTTTGGGCTTGTTTTTCTGTAAAGTCGCTTACAAATATTGGTAGTCGCGGGTCGCGTTTTTTTTGGGCTTGTTCCCAGCTTGTTGTCAAGCAGATATTTTCTATATGTTATTTAAACGTAGGAGTTTGTCTTGCCTGTTCCCTCTGTCCCTCCCCTTTCCACATACACACAGGAGACAGTAGAGTTTTTTCCCACCCACATCCTGCTTCTAATTGGCTCTGACCCAGATGGCAACGAGTACTAGCCAATCAGAGGCAGAGCAGGGCAATCGATTTTTTTCTGGTTAGGAAAACATCAGTGAGTGACGTTTAAATGAAAATACGTGCGAGTTGCGACCGTCGCGACTGATGGTGACTGGACTGTAGGAGAGTTTTTATATATTAATTATATTTTAGATATTATAGATATAGATATTATAGTTTAATATTGTTTAACCCTTTAACTGTCACTCCCCCTTTTTTTAGCATAGATAGACATGAAAATCACTATCCAAACTTAAAGGGTTGTAATTCAAGAATGCTTTGGAATATAGACCTATGGTTGGTCTTGTTTTAAAGAAGACATTTGCCATATTATTGTTGAAGTGAAGTATTATGAAATTATGAAAGTGAAACAGAAAAAAAGTTATACATATATTTTATATATATATATTACAAAATATATTTTACTCTAAAACTGCAAGAAAATGTAAGCCAAAAATCTGAAGAAGTTGTGTTCCAAATTTTAGGTTGATATCTCAAAAAATTAGCTTTCAGTGTGATTTTATTTGGGTGCAGTACCAACATTTTTCACTAGATGGACAGCCAAGCTTCATTACTGAAGAAAAATAAACTGTACCGTGTGCACAGTTTTACACAACTGCGCACAGTTTACCAATCTGTCCACATGGATGTAAATTGACAATCTGTACACATAGTCCAGTGTTAGAGACGCGCAGTTTCGACGAACGACATACCGCTGTGAACAAGCACAGTTGAAATATGCTGCTGAAGTAGCCTGACACTGAACAGAACGTTTTATTTACTGTTCAATAAAGTAGCTTAAAAGTATCATGTGTATTCATTTTTATGATGATGAACATATCCTTTAAATTGTATTCAGAATTCATCAATCATGTGTTTTTCAGTAATTTAAGTCAGTTTTACTCTGAATTAAGTGTAATTTTAGCCAATATACTGTAAAATAACAGTTTGTTCTATCAGAAAGTGCTAATGTAATCCAAAATATTGCTAAAATATTAAATTGATATCATTGTCTCCATGACGGACACGCCCCGCCACCTCCCCCGAACAAGCCCCGCCCCTGAACAAGCCCCGCCCCCGAGTAATCGAGTACTCGTTTTTTGAGACCTATATCAATGATCGAAATAAGAAATTGACAAAAATGCCCATCCCTATCGCCAATATGGGCATTTTCAAGCGCAAGAAGACGTGAAAGAGAGTTCAAGTACTTGCGTGTTGTCTGGCTTCGGATGTTTGCGCACAGAAAACTTCCCACACAGCGAGTAACAAATCAAGTTCCCTTTTCTTCCTGCACTTGAATATTTCATTTGGGAAGACTTAAACTTTCGGCTCGAGCGTCATTCATGTTTGTTCACGTTCATGTTCTCACAACATTGCATTACTAGAATTCCTAAAAAAAAATATTACAGGCCAGCTGGCGATTGACACCGTTTCACATACTCGCCAACACCGATTTTTACTCTTATTTGGCGCTTGGCGAGTTTTAATTTTAGGCCCAGCTTGCAAGCATGTATGGGTCATTCAACACCATAACATTTTAAAGGTACCACTGGTTTAGGAAGATCAATTATCATAAAATGTGTTGTTACTGGTTAAACACCAATAATAATCAGAACCCTTTAAGATTTAAGAGCAAGCGAAACACATGGTTTAGACGCTTCTGGTAAATCTGTATGGTTTTACAAGAAGTTGCAGTAAATATATTGTGCTCTACTATATTTACCAGCAGGCTTTCATCAATATCTGCAGAAGAAGATCATTGACACGGTCAGGGCAGTGGTACACAAAACTGCAGTATGTGACTCACTTAAGGAGTCACATGACATGGCCACATGCAAAGCTAATCAAATTTCAGTGGAGGGACAATTCTCTGGTCAAAGGAAGAAAATAAAGTGAAGGGAAAAGTTTGGGATCCAGTCAGCTTGTGGATCAGCAAGAGAGGTTAGTGGTTGTGATTCAGAGCATCTTATAGGGAATTTTTGTTATTTCCTTGCCCTGCTGTTTGCATTTCACTGTTTAAAGGGGTCATATAATGCCATTTTTGTACAAGCTAATATGATTCTTTAGGGTCTAAATTAAAAGTTTGTAATATACTTTAAT